CACCCAACCTCATATTGCTACAAACTATGGTCTCCATGGTGCAGCCGCAGGCCACCCGTATTTCCATAGCCGATCCCTTTGGGACCAATCTGGCAGTGTCCTTCCCACCGACTCACTCGGGTTCAAGGACAGTGACAAATCTGTCGAGATCTAGAGGTTATGGCTGCTCGGAGTAAGCAGGCGCACGAGGAGCTATATTTCTTTCCCCGAAACAGACCGTTCATGGACCGAACCTTAGGTGGGCTATTATCAACCTGGTAAACCACATCCCGATTCCAGATTTAAGTACATCGAGTAGGGTCATCAGTCCCACACTCTGTCAGTGTGAGTTGCGTTCCGTAGGCTGACGGGCCTCATATGCCCTGGGGGAGAGGGGAGAGACTCGGGCAGCATGGCTTTCCCAGGTGGACGGTTACCCATCTAAGTACTAACCATGCTCAACGTCGCTTAACTTTTATTACCTATTGCGAGCGCCTTAGCCCGTCTGGCTACCCCAGCCCGACTATATAGGGCTACCGACAATATAATAGATGGCTATAAGTAGATCCAGACATAGGAACCGACTTATGAAAATTATTAGAGGGGCTGGAAGAATGAGGGGGAAGGTGAGCTATAGGGAGAGAGAGGGGGATGGCATGATTGTGTCACTCACCACTAAAAAAAAAATAGGACACCGCTAAAAAAATTCTGCTATACCTGCTAGTAGATAGATACAGTCCTTTTTAATGTAAACGATCGATATGTTCATGAAGCTCATACTATAGCAATTTGTTTTGGGCTGAGCCCCACAAAGGCAGCATTTAGGGGGAGCCTCAAGCTCCGCGAGTCCCTATGGATCCAAAGTATTTAGGCAAACTCGGATTTGGAAAATTTTCTCGGAATAGACCATGCAGGGTAAAGGCCTTACAATTAACAATGTAGGAAAAAAAAGATAAAAGAAATTAAAAGATTTGGAATGGATATATGAAAAAGGGGAATTTACTTATCAACATAATGATGGATACATATTAATACATTCGGGATAAGACGAAAGTATTAGAGCAAGTCAGGGTGTTTGACAAGTTATTCAAGAAGGAACTCTTCAGAAAAGTTGAACACAAGTACCATCAATCCTAGGATTACTTTGCTTACAAACAAGTACGAGTATGTAAATCTTAAAGGATTACACCACCGTGTATGATTCTACAGCCGCGAATAAGTTGTAGCTCTATACTGATAAGAAGAGACAGAGAATCCTGTTCTTACTATTAATACAGAGGTGATAATACATAGAGACCAAAATATGTCAAAAGATAGAGACCTCTTATAAGCACATGGTGTTATGGGCCCTTTTACGTTATGATAATCTATAGTTTAAAAAACATCTTCCTGATTTGAATCCGGCTTTAGCAAATTATTAAACATTTTGTAAATAAATCCGGTGTTAATTGACCCTGCGGCAAACCCTGCCTGTATAAATTAGATACCTTTAAGTTTAGCCTAAGGTCAAGGGACATAGTGACTTGAAATTTTTTTTAGCCAGAATTTACCAGGCACTCCACCTGTGAAAGGAAATTTTCATCTTTCACACCTTTTACAAGTAGTCCAGTCAATGAATGGCATAATAGAGCTTACAGAGTGCATGGAGGATGGACAAGCAATTGATTTTGGGAATTTGTTGAGGACACTTAGGAGGTAAACATATAAAAGTCCTCGCCCCTATCCCTTCCGCTTCATGGTGGGGGGGAGCCTTAAACGTCACCTTTTCCGTATATCATGAAAATGAGGCGTCGCAGACGAAACATTTTCGTATAAGAAATTAAAGCTGACAAAATTTTAAACATTTAAGAAAGTTAATATTCATTACTTTCGTGTTTTTTATAGCTTTCGAGATATTCATTAACTTAAATTGTCTATTTTCGAAAAATTTATTTTCGTCTCACTTTTTTGTCAAACTTGTCTTTTTAAGACCTCGGCTTTTGGTTCTACAAGAAAATTGTCTGAATGAAAGTTGTAAAACATAGTTTTTTCTTTAAATGTATGAATAATCTATTAGTTTATCTTTTATGAATTCAAAGTTACATCAATTTTAAATATTTTGATAAATTCATCAATCCATTTGAGAAAATATAATTTCTTTATTTTTGAGCATGAATGTCCACCTCCATTAATGTTACACATGAACGGTGGATGCAGATCTGATCTTCCTTTCGGAAATCTATCTTTCTTCTTCCGTAGTGAGGAAGGAGAAGCATGTTTACGAAATTATTTCTCATCCAATATTGGAGTGTTTTTAGGTATGTCATAAACTTTGCTAGCACTATTATGTTAAAAGAGTTAATTACAATGGCTTTGAGATATCATTACACAGTGTAGATCTTATTATATTTCCATTATTTAGCTTTATAGAGTTTTTCCTTCACAGTATTTGTTTTTTCATTTTCGGCTGTAGTTTTACTATTCTGAATTCATATTTGAAGTAAAACTGTTTTTTTTTACTATTAGTAAAAAAAATATAGAAAAGTATTAGCATGCAGTAAATAGTAAATAAAAAGGCATTAGTACGCAAGACTAAAAACAATTTCTTGAATTAAAAGCTTTAATACTTTTATTAGTTAAAGTAGTTTGATGTGTGCAGTTTTAATAACTTTTTGTATCATCCAATAACTTTCCTCTCTAGTTTTCAATTTATTGAAATCAACTTAAAAATTGTCATTTTCAAGACCCCAACACTTTTTTTTTTTCTCTTTCAATTTCAAGATTAATCTTATAATGTTTGAGTTTTTAAGCGTAATAGTAATATTTTGACCACATAGAAGTAACACTGGTTCACGAACTTTTTTTAACCAAACATTTTAGTATGTTTCATTATACTATAACCAATTAATACCTCTTTTAAAAATGTAGATACAATTTTTCTATACTTACTTTTTTTATAAATAAAAATGTTTTTCATTGCAATCAAATATTTTTCCTTATTGCATGCACGAAAAGATCTAAAAATTGATTTCATATGATGAAGCGGAACAAAGTACCATAAAAAGTTTCATATTCAAAACAGCAAACATGTGGTTTCTGCACTTGTAATTTATTTATATCTTTATATCTTTTATGTAATTTATTAAGATATATTATGCATCCATCATGAGTAAATGTTGGACATTCATTCTAAAAAAAACATAAATTACAATTTTTCACATGCATTGACGAAATTTAACACGATATTAAAAACTGCCGTAACTTTGGACTCATAAAAGGTTAATTAGTACAGGATATATACATTTAAAGAAAAAATCGTTAATTATTTTTCAGACAATTTTCTAGGAGAAAGAAAAGCTATGTTAAACAGAAGAGTTGGTCAAAAAAACTCGAGGTGAAAGTAAATTCTTTGAAAATTGTCAATTAACATTAGTGAGTTAGTGGATACCTCGATAACTATGACAAATACAATAGAAATGAATAATAACTTACTTGAAGGAAATTTCACCAGCTATAATTTTGAATACAACAAATTGTTTGGTCTGCGACACCTTGTTTTCAAGATATATGAGAACATCTGGAAAAAGTTATCTTTATGGTGCCCCCTATCATGAGGTGGGAACTTTTAGCATGTTTACCTCCCAAGTACACCCAACAAATTTCCAAAATAAATGCTTCTCTACTTTACAAGCACCTTTTTGCCATTCATTGACTGGACTATATAACAAACTAATGTTTTCAAGAATCAAATTTGTTTGTATTTTTTAAAACAAATCTGATCTTGTAGACTTAGGATAAATATAATATAATATATTATAATATTTATTTATGTTAACATTATTGTTCACGTTTCTTTATTTTATTTTACAATATTCATATACTATTCTAATTCTCATTATTATTTCATATTATTTTAGCAAGTTTGCCAAACAAACTAAATCTGACTCAAAATCACTAAGTTTTGACAGTACCAGTAGCAAAGTACTGGAGTCACAGTCAAATGATTTGTCCAAAATGGATCACAAAAGCGAAAACATTTTTATAGAAGCATCCTGAATCTTATGATGTATTATAAGACTGTCTAATAAAATTTGGACAGGAAAGGCTGTTTACACTGGTTGAACCATTCAATTTATACCAAACAATGATAGGTATTAAAAGTTTGTAATATGTTTATATGTACTGAAATAGACAATTGTAAATATAGAAGTCATATGATGTAGAATTAGTAATAAAGTTTTGTTTTCAAAATTTTTGGCTTTGATTCATTTATCAAATTATAAAATGAAAATCATTGAATGACCACTTGGTTCCACATATCGCATTGAAATAGGATCTGCAACTAAAACTTAATTTAACATATGCATTTTATACTTAACTATATTTTTAAAATGGCTTTAATCACAGGCGGATCTACTTCAAGGATCGCTTAAACACCATGTAATGTAGGTAGTTAGTTTCTTTCTTTGTTTTCAAATTAATTATCGTTTTATATATATATATATATATATGAAAAAAAGGCTTTCGGACTGAAGCCCCCGAAATTAAATCCTCGATCCGCTAGTGACTTTAAATCTAATATATAGTGTGCAACTTGAGTAAATAGAGGACTTTTTGTGTCTCTGTTCAATTAAATCCTACCTTGCTATTTCTGACATACAGAGAGATGGGAGGGGGAGTTACTAGAGGTGCAACCAAACTTATTTTAACCACAGTGGGAAGGTCTAGAGTAGATAGAAGATCTAAAAAAGTCACATATTAAAAGTGTTTAAAATGTGGCTGAGTGGGTTAACGTGTGTGCACAACAACTTGATTGAAGATAATAATTACGAATTCAGATCCCTTTTAACTCTGGTATTAATCCCTCGCCCTCACCCTCTGGCCCAGGAAAACCTCGTATAACCTGAAAGTGGAGAAAAGGGAGAACAAACAAAGTCACATATTACATATTTATTTGTAAAGAATATAAAAAAAAGATGATGATGTTATTTTTGTAGGTAATCGTTGACCCTAAATAAAATACATGCAAATTGCCTCCTACTGGATGATAGTATTTCACAATTTCTCATTTGGCATGGAGGATTTCAAATCAAACTGTATAGTCTTGGCAACGATGAAGATTCTCTATCTCCAATTTGTGGTGTCTCAGAAACTGTAGAGCAACTATTCATGTTACCTGCTTAGCATTCCAGGCATTGAGGACCACATTAATGACAACCGTAGGGATCTTCATTCTGTCAGACGATTGGTTACCTCAGTTAGTATGTAAAAAGGATTTACCATAGTTCTTACACATATTTAATATTTTATTTACTAATGGAACCTAGAAACTCAAAGAAGAGCTCCAATACCAAGAAGACCACTCAGATCTAAAAACCCTAGAAAGAAGTATTTAAAGCATCAGTTTCGTGAAGTGGCAGACATTGTTAATCAAATAGAGATCTTTATTAGCATGGTTTTAAGGAATTCTGGTAGGTTCATTAAATAAATGCATCATTAACAATAGAAATATACACTTTAATTTTGGGGAGAAAAAATACAAAAGCTATGAGTAATAAAATTTAACAAATATACAAAAGAAAAGTAACGTTATACAAAAATGAGAAAAGCAGATGCAGAAAAATTAATTACAGAATAAAGAAAAAAGTTAATTTTTATAAACGAAAAATACAAAAAATAAAATTATGCTTACCAATTAATAAAAACTTAGAGTTGCAACTCCAGCACAAATAATATAATGCAGCGAGGGTCTAGACAATTGTTATGCCACTAGGTGAAAATTGCACATTTTGTATGTTAGCGACTAAACTACAATTTTCTATCAATCTTTCTTTTTTATATTTGTCTCTGTTTCAAAAAACCCGGCTCGATATTTAGTATCTAACTTGGACGACCGATTGCCCAAAGAGGTCGGCAGAAGCAGAGCTGCAGTAAAAATGAAGCACCGATTGCTTCAGACGTCATGAGGTCACAAGAGGAGTGTGGTCATAAACAAGATTAAAAAAAAATTGATATATTTTTTTATAACTTTATTTATTCACCCAGCCCTGTCTAATACAAAATATACAATCAGTAGATATCTTGTCAAATCATTAGTACAATATAATAATGGCATGTCAGGCATGAAGAAGAAAAATAACCAGATATATGAATTCCACGCCATTATTTTAGACAATAAAAAAATTACAGGTCTCTCATCCACGATCTTTTCAGACATACTGGTAGTGGCCATTCTTACTATTAAATGACTGCCATGTCTCTGTAAATTGTCATGAAATCTTTTGAAGTGAGTCAGTATGTATTCGCTGACTTTTGTCATTCTTAGGCCAGCGTGTAAAGTGTTGAAAACGTATCAAAATGCTTGTGTAATGAGTCTAATTATGTTGGATTGGGATGGTCTTTGTCTTTTTGGGAGAACTGAAAATTTGAGATGTGTAAGACCAAATTTGCTTTAGTAAGTATGTCTAGATAGCAAGTTTCTGTTTTAGCTTTAATTTTTATTGGGGTGTGAGTGATAAGTATAATAGTTTACTTCGTTGATTTAACGTCTTAAGTTTTTTATTAATGTGTAGGTCCTAAGTCAATCTTCTATCAAATGTAAGCCCTAGGGCATTGACCTTGTCTGTTTATGGAAATGATGTATTATTGAAGTATGCGGGAGAACAAGTTTCACATCTTAAAGTAAATGTGATGTGTTGGCATTTGTCATATTGTAATCATATTTTCCACAACCTGCACCAATCTTTTAGTTTATTTAATTGATGTTATAGCATTAGTGAGGCCTGCATAGGGTATTGTTATTATTGCAGTGCCGTCTGCCAATGTCGCTTAGAATGTTAGAGTTAGAATGTTGGGACTGTCTGGTATATCGTGTGTGTATATAATGTATAGCAAAGGTGCGATTATAAAAGCTTGAGGCATTCCTGTTAGAGCTGGTCAAATAGACGAAATTACAGAGACCTGACGAATGGGGAAAATCTATGTGAAAGGAAAGATCAGGAAGTATGTGCATAGCTGTTCTGTCTACCTGTTGCCTGTATGTTTGGTGTTATGGGTAGGTTTACCGAGTAATGTTTGAGTGATGCTTTGATCAGTATAGCTGTTCCACCGTGTACTGTTCTGTACATTGTATATCCTGGAATGAAAACTTTTGAACGAGGTACAGATGAGTTTCGGTTATCAGTCAGTGCTATGCCAATTGACAAGGTGCCTATAGTTAAATTATTAGAGAAAGGTGAAAAGGGGGTGGATCAGATTGTAAAGATTACTTGATATCATGTTGGAAAAACCATTAACCGTCGGGGGTGCCGGCTGGGTAATGTCACTCCCAATACCTGACAATGTCGGCTGGTGTTGAGGCGCAGCATGGGCTTAAATGTGTACAAAATTTAACAAAGAAAATAGATTATATCTACCATAGAAAAAAAAATTACGAGTAATTCCTATTATTCATTATTAAACCAGTTTGTTTATTAATATTATTTATCTATTTATTAATTTTTTATTTTATATCCATATGACGATGCTTGTGTTTGTAACCATAAATTTCCAAAATATTATTTTATCATAATCCTAAACCTGGGTCTATAGCGCCAAGTTTTTGTTTTATTCGGTAAGGTCCCTTATCAGCTTTAATTTCTTCTGAATCACTGATGTATATACCATTGTCCTTAGGTTTTGAATGTTTATCATTAGTTGTGATGTCGGTTAAAGTTTTTCCTTTATTTGCTTCACTTATGTCAACATCAGTCTCATCTACTACTGGCAAATTAGGGTTGATGTAATCAGACCTAAACTCATCTTCCTTCAATAATTCCTTTTCAATTAATGTTTCTTTTCCTTCATAAATGTTCTTCTCTTTCTCAGCTCCGGATGGCTCACTATCATTGACTATTTCGGCCATGGATCCTTCTGAAATAACAGTTGCGCCACAATCCTTTATTTCTTCATCAGTAGGACTTTCATCCAAATGTTCATTATCATCAACTACAATGTTTTCAATACTTTGTACATTTTTAGGAACCTCTCCATGTTTAGTTTCCATAGTACTTTAATTATTATTACTTACTAGTGGTTCCCCATCTTGAATAGCTGAGCTCTGTATAATACTGACGTTTTTAATTCGCCTTTCTCTACTGTGTCGTTTTTATTAATGCACTTTTGAAATTCTTGGTTTGACTTTGTGACTGTTTCCTCTGGGTTATCAAATTCGTTAATTAAGTTTTATATGTCCGATCTTAATTCCAGTTTTAACGATGATAGTGCAGCCAAAAAGATAGCCATGAAAACATTTGGCTGGGCTGTTACTTGTTCCTTTGTTCGAGAATGGATGATTAATTTATGCGAGAGACTTTAACCTCAAAATTGCGAATAGTTACGTGTTTTTTGTAGGATCCTACAGATTGTTTTAACATTTTAGCATGGTCTTTGCGCGACGCCATTTTAAAATTTCGGAATAAACTTTTATTTTTAAAAATTTAATATTAATTAATCTCCCGCGACCCAATCAACATTTTACTTCTATTCGGCGCCAATTGTAAATATTCCTTCCGTTTTGTCGGGGGACTAAGTTATTTACACTGGTGAATTTAATTTTCTTAAAACAAAACCCCGGCACTGGATATAGACTTTTTGAGGGTGTTTAACTGTCGTTAAGGATTCGGTAACCTAATGCTTTTGTGACTAGAAATAATAAGAATTTCTTTATCCCTCTCAGATAACCTCCTACCTTCATGCCCATGCCTCATGAACCTTCTTCTCTCTCGGCGTCCTTCTCCAGCTGCTGCTACCTGCTTAGTCCCTTTTCAAGCTTCTTCCTTCTTCGTCGATTGTTTATTGATATGAGACTTTTCAATGAACAGTATGTCCACTGCACAGTTCTTCCACTGAGCATAGTACAACTTCACATTCCTTCTCATTCCCTCAAACAATGTCACATAAAGGAGTAAATAGGAGGGGGCTATCTACTATATTGTTCCTTTAGGGTTTGACAGCCTTTAGAGTTTACTCTTTTTCTCCATGCAATTGGCATATGTTGCAGGCCTGTCCCTAGATTTAGTTAACGTAGTACTCTCGTGGTTAAGAACACATCTAGTTGGGTGGTTACAGCATAATCCTACTAGTAGTATAGTCCAGTCTTACTTTGTCAAGGCTTTCCGATTTTCACATGATAATACTCACTAGTGGATCCAGGATTTAGTTTTGGGGGGAGGCTTCAGCCCGAAAGATTTTTTTTTAAATATATAACGATAATTACTTAGGAAGAAAAAGAAAGGAACTAACTTCCTATATCAAATAGAGTTGAAGTGATTCTTTAAGTACTATTAACTATTAATTATTTAACTTTTTTTCATAAGAAATGGTTATATTTTACCATTTTTCGGAGGGGCTTCAGCCTGAAAGCTCTCCTCACCCGTGATAATAATATACATACTTGATATCAACGATGTTTATTCCATTGTTCAAAGTTTCAACCTACGTTGTAGGTCACACTGCCAGTCTCCGTACTGCTTCCTGCAGTACCAGACAGAATGCCCTTAAAAAGACCTACAATATAGGTCGAAACGTAGGACAATGCAATAACATAGTATTTTATATTTTGACCCGACTAACTTCTTGACATTTTTTTTTTGTTGAATGTCGATGATAAACATCGAGAGGGATGTTTTGAAACATGAAATTACGTTCCTGACTTCAGTTACTTCGTAACCTAATTGTACTTCGTAACTCATTTTTTAATAGTTTCATTGGACATTATGTGGGGCACTTAATGATTACTCTCCAGGATTTTTCCTCCGGGAGCTGGTATGAGTGAAATTCAACACCTGCTTTTTTCAGTGCGATTATAATTTGTGTATATGTAGAAGGAGTTTCCAGGTAAACTGTCATGCTTCTGAGAGTTGATTTAATTTTAAAAAGTTTTTTGGTTGGCTTCATTTTCTAAAAATAAAATAAGGTGTAAATAATTTTTAACTCCATTAATAAAGATAAGTGAAACTTTTCGTTTTTGTACTCAATTGTGCATTGAAAATCCTCATATCGATAAACAATCGATGAAGAAGTTAGAAGCTTGAAAAAGGACCAAGCAGGTAGCTGCCAACAAGGTCAGTAAAACTACCAGGTTCGCTCACTCAGAGGGAAAATGGTGGGGAGGAATTGAGCTCTGACGTAGCCAAAAGACTGGATTTACCCCTCCGGCCTTTGTTTCTGGACATTTTAAGATTATTATTTACTTTTATACATTAAATCAATACTGTATTGCCAAATAACTTATTAATTTATTAATTTTAATAAATTTGAAAGGTGAGAGAAAGGTTGATTTGATATTTGGTTTATTCTGAAGCAAATAAAATGTAATTTAACAAGTTGATGTATGATTTTTTGCAAAGTACCACAATACTACTTTTTAAATATTTCAAATAAATACAGAGCATAATATAAAATAATAGAAATATTGAAAAAAAAAAGAAAAAGTATTTAATCTAACATTAAAGAAGCGTTTTCTTTCCGTGAATTTTTGTAAATATTACATTTTTATGTCATAAGTAATCCTATGTAGTGATTTTTCTCAAGTTTTTTGGCTTTGATTTTATGTTTTCTTAATTGTTGTAAAAATCGTTGGGTATTTAAAAATTTGATTCTATTAAATACTCGTTGCTGAAAGAAAGGTTTTCTTCATTAATTTCTACATTTTGTTTCCTAAGAAAAAGATTAGTCAATTTTTTTACAATATTTGTTTTTTTTTACAATATTTTTACATTTACATTTTAAAATCCAATCTTTTCTTCGAGCGTCCTTTGGAAAAGTATGAAATGAAATTTTCTTTCCCATCTTCTTTGTGTCAATTAGATTATTGTTGCAAGATGCAACTGCGCATTTTGTACCTGGCATTCTATAGGATTCTATTAATAATTATGTTATTATGAGAAATACAAGAAATACTAATAAGAACAAACGAATTCTCTGTAACATGTTATTAAAAATAAAAAATAAATACTCGTTATAATATTATTTTAGAGACGGATAAGTAGTTGACTGTTAAGATTATAAGGTGAAAATAAATTATCAGGATTTGCAGTAAAATTTGTTTATTTTTTTAATTAAATTTATTTATTTAAAGAAATTTTGACTGCAAATCCTGACAAAGATCTTCACCCTTATAATATTATTATAATATCGTTATAATATTAAAAGAAATACCCAGGAGATCTACAAACAAAATTACACAAACATTGTGCTAAAATGTTCTCTAAATATATATAAATCTTAGTTTTTTCTATTTATGTAGTATATTTGTATATTATTTACAGAGATTTTGAAATAAAGAATTTAAAAATAATCTTAATATCAATTTCATTCTTTTCTTTTCAGGTCTGATCTGTAATTTTCATAGCATTTTATTCTAGATTGATAGCCGTATTTATTTATTTATCTGCTAGAAATTATCTTCAATCAAACGTTAAAAATATAGAAAAGTATTCTTCTCAATAAATTAAACAAGAAAACAAAAATAAAGCACAATAATGTTGAAATAAGACTTCATTGATAGCTTAAAGAGTAATAGGTAGGTCTCGCAGTCTATTCCTTACATCACGTTTCAAGTTCCCCCAACACACATTTCTGAGTGAGCGAACCTGGTAGTTTTATTGACCTTGGCAGCCAGGAATCAGTGGGGAGGAATGGAGCTCTGATGTAGCCAATAGACTGAATTTACCCCTCCCGCCTTTGTTTCTGGACATTTTAAGATTATTATTTACTTTTCTATATTAAATCAATACTGTATTGCCAAATAACTTATTAATTCTGATAAATTTGAAAGGTTAGAGAAAGGTTGATCTGATATTTGCTTTATTCTGAAACAAATAAAATGTAATTCAACAAGTTGATGTATGATTTTTTGCAAAGTACCACAATAATATTTTTTAAACATTTCAAATAAATACAGAGCATAATATAAAATAATAGAAATATTAAAAAAAAAGAAAAAGTATTTAATCTAAAATTAAAGAAGTTTTCTTTTCGTGAATTTTTGTAAATATTACATTTTTATGTGATAAGTAATCCTATGTAGTGATTTTTCTCAAGTTTTTGCCCTTGATTTTATGTTTATTTAATTGTTATAAAAATCTTTGAGTATTTAAAAATTTGATTCTAATAAATACCCATTGCTGAAAGAAAGCCTTTATCAATTCTTCATTAATTTCTACATTTTGTTCGGATAATTTGGAGGCGGTAAAATTACGGGAGGATAGAGAATATTTATGTATGTTGGGTGATGTGGTCTTTTAGAAGATTTTAAGTTTCGCCAATATAAGATGAAAAACAATTAAGGGTAGAACACAGAATACAGCAAATGATATGAGAGCAGAGTGAAAGAGGAATGGGATCTATTAAGGATGTGTACACATTTGAAAGTGTGTTGTGATATTTGAAGGCAAGTTGTAAGTTAGGATTAGTAGATCTATTTAATTTAATTTAGTAAAACTTTGTTTATATTCTCAGAAAGATTAGAAATATAAGATAGAGATCTGTATATGGAGGTCAAAATGGGATAAAGGAGAAACAGTGGAGGATGAGATTAAGGAAGAGCGATTTTTGTGGTCTGTTATAAGTTTGTTGATGACATGGAGAGGAAAATTATTATTTGAAAGGATCTATTTTATACATTGGATATTGGTTACATGAAATTGAGGTAAATAATTCATAACAACGAAAATCTTTAGGTGTGAATATATCCTAAACAAAGAGTTTGCGGACATGCCTTCAGAGGAATTTTTTTTTCCTGTTTTGAAGTTCTTAGTTCATTTTTTCAATTTGATCACTTAACCCTGAAACACCCTGTATAGATATAATGTGCGATGAATATATCTACGGGATGCTTGGTGAAAGGTATTTAAGAGGATGACCATGGCAGTTCAGGCTGGATGATGTCAAGGAATACCTGAACCACCTTGATGTTCAAAGATGGAGATCATGTTCAGAATAGGAAAGGGTTTTTTATGGTGGAAAATATACTGGTTCTCTGAGGACCGGATATCAAAACAATAATAAACCGGAAAATAATACTAGATTTATCCTAACAATCTTATTTGTATTGCAAGAAGTATATAGCCTTATTCATCATGGTGATATACTTTTCGTTCTCATTTCTCATTCCTCAATAACGATAAAACCTCATTTTACAAATGAACCCAACATAATTGAAAAAAAAAAATCATTTCTAAAATCAGGACCAAAATCTATATAAACATCAGTTAGTAAAACTAAAATAACTTCATATAAAAATGTATAGACCTTATATTTCCTATTCATGATTATACCTGTAATATTTTATTTAAACAAAATTTGGGATAGTAAAATAATTCTGGGGAAATGAAATATTTGCTTTTCTTTTTTCTTAAATTAAACAATTTTTAATATTATTGAATAAAATAACTTATAACAAAATAACAAGTTAGTAAAAAATTGTAACTATATCTTGATACATAATTTTTTTTAATTAATGATAATTCGTATAAATTAGTAGTAACTAATAAATATCAAAATTTATATACATTGTAATTACATAGATAATTTCATTAATAAGCTATAAATATAATATGGAATTTTCCTAAAGAAAAATATTTAATAATTAGTCATAATAAATATATTAAAATCAACACCTTGTATATTATACCCAAAATTATAATGCATCATTTGTACAGATAATATGCACACATATACATAAAATATATATATTGGTTAAATTACTTTGACATTAGTCCCATTAGTTAAATTATCATATTTTCCACTACAGTAATAGTTTCTCAATTCTTTCTTAAGTTGTAAAGGTCAACCATTTAATCTATAACAATAAGAAACAAATATCAATGTCAAACAAGACAATTTTATAGTTTAACTACTTAATGAATCATAGATTTGAAAAACCCCATAAGTCACAGAGATGAAATATTCAACAAACTAAGTAAAAACCCTGTAAAGCTTAAAATGTGAGGAAGGGGAGGAAAAAAAAATAGAGGTTGTTAACAATTGAAATATAAAATATCATTCGTTATTATATCTTAGAAAATAAATACTATCATGATACTTTACAAACACATCTGAATATATCAAACGGGAGAGGGCTAAGACTCGTATTAAAGGCCAGTTGACAATGAGAAAGACATAGCAAGCTAACATTCCTTTAAAGTACATAGGTTAATTAATGAACTATATGCATTCTAAATTGAAATATTTTGTATTTAACACTTGCCTCATAATATGATAAACCCCAATGTTATAGAAATGGAGGAGAGGAGTTTCCAGAAGGGTTCAAAGCAGAATGTTGAACAGGAAAGAAAAGATTCTCCTAATTTGGAGGCTAATTTTGAGGAGACTTTTTGGGTTTATGTGCGAAGGACAAATAAAAGTTTGAATGTCAGAGTGCAGAATTATATTAATGAGAAAATTTGAACCTTAATTAATATTATAGAAACACTAAATGACCAGAGTAAGAAAGTCCAGACATGCAAGACATCTGTAGAGAATAATAAAGTAGTCTATGAATCACTTTATGTGTGTTCATGAGATGATCACTCAGCTAGTTATTGAAAAAAACTGTGACAAAAATATAGGGACTTTCGGCAAGTAGTGTGGAAACACGACATCAAACCTTATCCAAATTCACTCCTTCAAGATAAGTGCAGAAACTATAGGGAAAACAAGCCCAGCTGGACCTTCAACAGCTATTAAACTCTACAAAGTAGTCATAAGTAAAAGAAACCATAGGGAAGGCCAAAAAAGCTGGCAAGATACTGATACAAATGAGTTGATAGATGATACCCCTCCTGTTGATAAAGCAAAGTGAAAAGGCAAGTTTAATTGGAGAGTGGTGGTCAATGTCTTTTCAGGATAACCTCAACGGCCCATGTTGCAAATCTCAAATGCCCCATGTTGGATTTAAATGCAGAAACCAAGCTATCACAGGGTTTGGTCTCACAAGTGTCAGAACTAAGGGCACACAGTAAAGCCACATGTCCAACAGATGCTTTGGTCTGCATCTACTGGGCATGTCCTGAAAATGCAATAGGAAACCAGCTCAGGTTAGCCTCACATGTACAATTGTGTGACGGCAAAAGCCCTTTCCAGGCTTACTAAGCACAAGGTGGGTAGTCATGACTGTTCTATGGATTTAATTGGTTCAAAAAAATGATGCAGAATAAGATCTTCATCCTCTAGCTCAACACGGCCCACCAGTTTATGATTGTGGAAATGCTACTTGGTCTCTCACCATGCGACGTCATCATGACAGTCCAGGAACCGAGCTGCCACAGGAATATGGCAACATGGTTTGGTCTCCATTGAGGGTTATAGCTTTGAGCAGTGGAGGCCCTGGGGTGCTGTTGGCTAACAATCCTAACCTCTATGTGATGGATCAGAGTGACCATGGTGGATTGTGTTGCATGCTAAATTAGATGGGATAATGTCACATCTATACTGCTCTCATACCTAATGGAAACAATATTGATAAACAAATATCCGCCATGAATATGATCACAACTTATACTAGAAATGTGATCATAAGCGAACTAATATAAGGGAAAAATAGGAAATTGGAGTGCTTTCCTTTTAACACTGAAGAGAAAGTTGATTGGCAAAGATTAGGATGCAACATAGACGGATCAGTCAGATGACCTGGATTACAGAGTGTTCAGGATCACTGATGTCATCCATGATTTCGCTGAGGAATGTCTCAAGAATCTCAAGAGGAGAGTTCAACCAGTCCCTTAGTGTCAAAAGTTGACTGCCCATTCTATCATGCTGCTAATTACTATTCGTTAGAAATTATTCTACATAATTACATTGACACCATGTTCCTGATTTGTGGCATCTAAGAATTCTATCTGCAATTAGGGAAATGAGAAGTTTCCATTGGGCTCTAGATGTCTTTCACCATTTCAAACTAATGGTGTAATAATTGTTAACTTTGAGCCTGTTTTGAAAGAATTTTATTTATTTGGCATGCTGAGATATAACAAAAAACTATTCTCCAAAGATGAAACTAAACTCCAACTTGCAGAATGAGCCTGTGCAATATTGTTAAACTTGTTTAGAAATGAATGGATTATTAAACCATTGTAAAACAGCAAAAATAAAAGAGACCAATAGGATTATCCTTTTAAAACTTGTTTTGACGTTTATCTCTAAAGAACGGAAGTCCATAAAATTTTAAATACTCCTTAAAAAGTGACTTATAGGGATTCTCAACTTAAGAATATAAATTATAAAATTGGTTAGTCCTCAAAACAATTGCATTTTATTTTCTCAAATAGTGATATATCATCAATTATATTGACATATTTTCTATGAATTACTTGAAAGATCAATATTGAATAAAAAAACTTACCTTTGGAAGAAATGCTATCTTTTACTTCTCATTTTCGATAAAATACGACCAATTGTCTCTGATGGTGTTTCAAGACTGTCATTATTTGATGATCCACTTTCAACCTATAATTAAAAGTAGCAAATGCACTCATATGTATATGTGTATGTATACTTAAAATTCATACATATATATTCACTCTCACATAAATAGAACTTCAAACAGATTCAATGAAAATTATTTTCAACTGAACTGCTAATTCAACAAATGTAAAACACAAAAAATACTGTTATCAGTCATTAAAAAAAAAGTCTTGATCTGACAGTTGACACAGTCTTCTGGTGATCATGATTTATTACCAGGTTATTAAAAAAAATTGAATAATTTAATTTACTGGAAAAATAACTTCATAACATCATTACATCAAGATAAATCATAAAATGTTCATCAAACATTTTTATTTTCAAGAGGTTTCAGCATCATCAATTGTTTTTTGTTTAATTTATTTGTTGAATTAATTTTTCTTCTATCGATACTAAATTCAATGCTATGTATTTTAGCTATTTTGAATAGGTCCTCCTTAAATATCCACAATTCTTCCATTCTCGATCCAGTCAGTCTCACAATGGTACTAAAATGTAATTTATTTGTGCTTTAGGAGAGGGTAAGTAATTCACAAGGGACTTAATTTTGGGGTTTCAGAAATTCGTAAAAAATTGTTTCAACATCATCATCAATCATAGTGTTATAACTCATGCAAATTCAAGCCTCCTGCAGTTTGGTCTTCCAGTCATCTCAATCTGGTTGGCACCGCTCTCCATTTGTGGATTCCCAAGATGCATTTTGCATCTGCTGCTATTTCACTGATCCATTGGAACTGAGGTCTTCCCACATCAGTGAGTGCACGGGTCAATTAATTAGTTTAGCTTCAGTCTGTCAGTATCATTTGAATTCCAGTTAGTCAGTATAAATGATATCGCTCCATCAAGAAATCGTTATTTGTAAACAGTGTCATATAAAGTCTTAAGGTTACATTGTTGTCAAATTGTCAAAATCGGCTAACTGGAATTGCCACTTTATACAATAGATTTTACACATTTATACAATTTCCTCAAAAACACCTCAAATGTTTTGATTAAATTCATTACATCAGTTTATAATTAAGCGGTTTTTAATAAAATATAAATCTAACTTTTATTAATGTGCTCTTAAAGTAATTAAATGCCTAATTTTAAAAATTTCAACCATTTCACATTGGTATCTGATATAAAAAAAATAGTTAAATATAATGAATGGGGAAAATTTATTGGTAACTATAGGAGAAATAAGGGTTGGAAGCTATACCTAAAAAGGCGAGAGTGTCCGACTTTTGCTAATCCTCTCCCTTTCCAGATACTTTATATTGTTAATTTAACATTTGTATATTACAGGGACCGGAAAGTAACGTTGTTTCTGAGCATGTCACTATTTGATTGTGATTTGCCAGCTCATTGTGTGCACTTACATCATGGCATAAACATTCTAAGGTTATAGTGACATTTTTAGTTGCAAATAATTAAATTAAAAGAATGTTTTTGCAATTTTTTGTAAAATGACCAGCCAAATACCAGAAGAGGAACATAGTTTCGAAAGGATAGTAATGTAACAGTTGCTACCAAAGCATTTGCAATGTTTATCCAAATACATTAGACGTTCGTAAATGTTAAATGTGGGTTTTTATTTAAATTCAAATCCAGTAATTTTGATCTTTCTGAATTCTTTCTGAGGTGTTAAGGGCAAAAGTCGAAGCAAATCTGTGTCAGATAATCAGAACATTGTCAAACAGTCTTAACCAACCTTGTTGCTGGCTCATTCAACGGTTTCTGGCAGGTGTCAGAGGCGTGAGGACCGGCATATTTGACACACCGCGCCGAGTGATGACAGTAGGCCTTTGTATGACCTAAGTTTTGACACTTGGTGCATTGCACGACTATATGTTTCTGTCTTGGTTCTTCAAATTTTACAGTTGAATACAACAGTCCTTTGACTTCAAAGATTTCAGAATTATTCCGGGCTGGTTCTAAATCAATGAAAAATAATGGCAGTGGATATTTGTCGATTTGATGTAAAACAGAAGATATATGTCTTACATTGTGGCCGATATCTTCAAGATCTTTTTTTATAGTGGTAGTAGGAGTGGTTGAGTGGAGACCTCTCAAAACGACCCTATAGGTTTTTTTCTCTTTTTTTAATTGATAGCAGTGGAAGTCATAGTTTTGTGCTGTCAAATGATTAATAAGTTTTTTATAATCGTCTTTGGTGTTTGTGTAAATCTTTATGTCATTGACACGAGAAAAACACCTGAAGTTGGTCTGTCCAATCAGGTTAGCTATTTCTTGACTGAACTGCATGAAGTTGTCAATTTTGCTTACATATATCGGTGGTGGCTCAGGTTCGGTGAAAGTCCTAGGTTCAGTGGTGTCCTTATTTTTATTATTGGCTGCAACAGAATTGTTGCTGGATGTGGTAGTAGGTGGTTTAGTTTCAGCTTTCATAGCTGAATTATTATTAGTGCTAGTTTTTAATTGTTTATTTTTGTCTGCTTTGATTTAGTGGATTTGTTTTTTTTTTATTTGGTGAGTTGCCCGCCGACCCGGGGGCAGAGTTTCTGTGGCGCTTTTGGAGAGTTCGCCTTGTTAAGTACTGAGAATCCGTCTCACTAATTTCGGAGAACAGAGTATCTACATCTGATTCATCAATAGAAATATTCTTATCAGAATCCATACCTCTAAATATAAATAAACAAAGGAGAAGAGTGAAAAAAAAAAGTATCTCTAATAAAAAAATTTACAATATAAATACTTGATGACTAATCTATTTACAAATCTATATACAATTATTAAATAAAACATTTTCAATAAGTAAATAAAATAAAAAAGTCAGAGTAAAAAAAAAAAAAAAGATGTATATATGATTCTGAGGTATGAAACTCAAGATTGCCGACTAATACGAAGCGCCCTGACCGTGATCTTGAAAGATAAGAACCGCTGAGGGGAATTATCTGCCACGTATCTCTAACTATCTCTAGCAAACGAACACCAGTTTAATGTTGCTAATTGTTAATAATAAGTCACTCACCTCACTGATTGTAAAATAAAATTGTTAAACTGTTTACAAAGCCTGAGAATAGGATTTCAGATAATAACCAGATGACAAAGTAGCAAAGACAGAACAATATGAATATTGAACTGCAGTTGCGGCCATGACACTTGATACTTATTTACTAACATTAAGTTATTTTTTTGATGAGTTTTGTGATAAATGTTTCCGATGAAACTCAGAATTTTCCAAATAACCTATTTTTCTCCATAATAATTCAAATTTTTTGATACTATACATAGTCGTAAAAAGAAATGGAAAGTGATGCAAACGTATAAATGTAACAGATTCGATGGGGAAGGAGAGAAGAGAAACATGGTAATTAATTGTTTGAAATGAAGTTATAGCGTTGTTTTCACTTCTCTATACATGATAATACCTATCTATTTTAAGGTTGGTAAGTGAAAGTTGTGTGATATGCACACCGCTCCAGATTTTTTTCTTTAGTTTACAATTTACATCTCTCATCAGTAATCAGACTTAAAAACTTAAAAATGTATACAACTTTATAACATTTACTTAGAAATATGTATGTTGTATTACTTACATCAACAGTATATGTACAGATCCCTGATTTATCTTCTTCGTTCTCTAAATCAATTACAGGAGAACAATTATTATGTTCAGCTACTGGAGGAATGTCATTATTTTCAACTAAGTCCACGACAATGGGAGAAGTTGCTTTTTCTACTTTCTGAACAATTCCTGAGCAACTGCTGGCATAACAAAGCACATCACCAACACTAACGAGGCAGAATAGCATATGAAAATTAATAAAATGTAATAAGTCATTTACGATGTTAAAAACGCTTTGTTGTTCATACTAAGAGATAAATTTAAAAGGAATAAAATATAAATTTTGCAAAAATATTTTAACAAAAAAAAAATATTTTTATTACTATTATTATTATATGCTTGATAATGTATTGATAATTGGTGTATGTATAGATAGTTACAATTATTCTGTTCATAACACCAATGAAAGCCATGCAAATTATTAAAAAAGTAAATATTTTGAATACCTTTCACAAGATTTAAGATTGATTTGATCTTGGGATAATCTAACAGCTTGTACCTCAGTAAGAAGATCGAATGGAGGGCTACTGTTCCAGTTAGGCCGATCATTCATTTTAATCTTCATTCGTTCTGTTAATTTTTCCAGCTCTTTTAATTTTTCTCTATAAAAAAATTAAAATATCTGAGAACATAAAATTAACTCATCAACATTGATTATTAATTGACAATAGACAAAAACAGGTTTTTGTAATTTTATATTATTAAATTACTTCACTCCCTAATACTTCACTACATTTGAGAGGTTGAGATCCTTTCCATCCGACCACTAAAAAATAAATTTCAACCCCTCTCCCCCTCCAGACCGGATTTGAACCTAAACTGCTAGATTCAAGGTTGGTAAGGTGATGTCTCAATACTCTCAACCATCATGGCCTCAACTTTCATAAGCTTACCAACTGTGCCTTTTCTCTGAGATTATTAGACCAATTCTTTTTAGATTTGCCCCAAAAGTCACAGATCATCCCAAGACAACCCTCAAGACTTGATATAAGGGATAAAAAGCAACTGAAGTCTGATTAATTATCACTTGATAGCAGATAAAGTAATTAAAGAACTGCCTTACAAAATTATGACACATTATAAACGTGGCCTTCAGATCAAAGTATGTTTCATGATTGTGGATTGATGACTAATGAATAATAGAAGAGAAAACTGATTGGGGTAATTAGTAAAAAAAAAAAAAATAAAAAAAAAAAAATTATATTTATTTTTATTTTTGAGGGCTGAACGAAAGATTTCTGTAAGACACTGTCTTATGTATCTCTTGGTCTTGTGGAAATCTTTTGTTTGACCAGCCCTGAACCTTGGGCCGAAACATTGGCAGAAATAAATATAACTTATTTATTTTTACTGATCATTCCAACTAATCTCTTCAATTAAAGTATATTTCAGTTTCTTAGAAAGTGGCTAAAGTTATTATGATTTTAAAGCCTGACAAAGCAGAGACTAATAATAAAATAATAAAAATCATACAGATCAGACCAATTTCATTGTTGCCAGTGATATCTAAACTATTCAAAAAACTGAAGCCTTTGATAGAGAGAATTTTTTTTCTGGATCATCAGTTTAAATTCAGAAATAGTTGAGGATGTTAGCACCTCAAAATGAATAATGTTGTTTTTTATGACTAATTACCTTTTTTCCTCTTAGCTTGGATTATGAAATTGGTTTATAAATAAATTTTACAATAATTGACGACAGGTTAGCTGTTTTTTTTTTTTTAAGTTGGTATATATTATCTGATTATCTATTGACTATACAGTTAGATTAAGATCTATAAATGGCTGGAATTTCTTTAACCACAGAGAATAAGTTTTTGTCATTTAATAGGGGAACATAATCAATTTTAACGAAGTTTCTAAACAGAAACTGAGAGTTAATTTGTATTTCCAGTCTCATTTCTGAGAGTTAACATTTTCTCCTTGTAATATAACTATATTATTTTTATTGTTTTTTATGCTTTGGGTCATAAATTACTGAATGCAGTTCATAGCATGATTGCATCATTCAAGTTTTGATTGTCAGTTTGTAAGCTTCTAAATTTGATATCAATTGCAATACCACTTGGCCTCTCTAAAACCACAGATGCAAGGTCGCCTTCTGGAGACACAGATTTTGTCTTTGTATTTATTTTGGAAAGAAAAAACAACCAAAAATCGATTAGGTTTGATAAATTTAATTTACCCATTTTTTTTTTTTGTTAGGTTGTATGCACTTAATATTATCAGATGTAGAGAGCTGGTGATTCAATTATCCCTTAAAAGCAAGTACTGATCTCCCTTATTTTAATAGAAAAATGGAAAAGGTGTTCTTGTTAGTACTACTCACTGGGTTTTATTGGTAAATACTTTAATTTAATTTTTAAAATATTATGTAAAGAACGGACTCAATGTTTAGGTTGCCGAAGGTCAATGTCAACTCTCAGGTAGCTGGTAAATATTATTATTCTAATAATCAATTATATTATTCTAAAACTAAAAGACATACATACGTTTCGGATGCATGATTAAAGAAATTTTCAGCCACGAATACAAGAAGTGCACTGAGTGACAACGGCACTTCCCATGTATTTTGAGTCCTCAGCTTTTATTTTCATGAAGAAGACTATAGTAATATCATTTTACTATAGTCTATTTTACTATAGATAAATTAGTGAAATTAACAAAATAAGATACCTACTGCAGTGAAGTAGCTATGGAAGAACTATCAGGTACATTGATTTCAATCTTTTTTCCTTTAGTTTTAGTGTATTCCTTTAACCAGTCATCTCTGAAAGGACTAACATCTTCTAATGGTGTTACAACAACCTGTTACAATAATTAAAAGTAATTAATCTAAAAAATAAACAAACAAGAGATAACCAGAGAGTGTGTGTATACAAGCCTTGAGGTTATATTAAAAATTAATTATGTATAATAATACTTCTAAAATTTTAACATTGTAAAGTGAAAATGGAACAAAGATGATTCTTAGTATGGTATGCATAGCCGATCCTCAAATTCCACTAAAACCTTCCATCAAAAAGGTATACTTTTATGAAACTAAATGAAAAAGAACTCCTTCCAGACAATTTGATTGCAGAGATGATTCTATAAAACAATAACACTATTGTAAATTGAAACAGTCCCATTACCTCCTGTTCCAGCTAAAGTTTAAGAGAAAAAGAAACATCGAATTGCCTGAAAGGAGTCTTTTTTCTCTTATCTTATTGATGGAATTATAGAATGAAAATGCATACCACCATTAGTTTTCAAACACGAATAGGATTAATATTTACTCTAAACATTTTAGAAGGCATAATACCCATTACATAGAAAGAAGGGGCTGCGATTCCAGTCCCATATCATATCCCGGATCTTATGGAAAAAACAGTCTTACTATGCAAGAGCAAGTAGGGTTACAACAATTCAGATAGACAGAAGACCAAGAAGAAGACAGCACAGGAAATCGAAGTCAGGCTTCAATTTCAAGAGCAGGAGCACACTTTGGCTGTATGGGTAGACATAGAGAAGACATTTGACAAGGTCTGGACAGAAGGTCTACTCCTAGAGGCTGGAAAAATGGATATAGCAGGATGATCTGGCTCAAAACCTATCTGCAGCAACAGAAAGCTAGGGTTCACTCCAGGCCAGGGGTTCAAAAAGTAGATTCCATACAACAAAGAATGGGGTCTCACTAGGCGTTGATCTATCACCAACTCTCTTTTTTATCTATAAGCCTAAATCTATATGCCTAAAAATGTAAAGCTATCAGTTTATGCAGAGAATATAGTGATTTGTGTAAATCCATCTCAATAATAGCTATCAAATACAGGTGCAAACTGCACTGGATGCTCTCTTTTCATGGACAGAATAATGGGCACTCAAAATAAATACTAATAAGATGCACTACACGATTTTCAGTCTGTCCAGAAGTATCTTTGATACTCTTAATCTCAAATTTGGCAACGAAGGCCTCGCCTCTCCAAGGATGATTTCATGGTCTATCTAAGAGTAAAATTTGACAAAAGACTCACTTGGAAGAGTCAAATAGACAGAAGTGTTGTTAAGGTAGTAAACTGAACAGCACTATTGAAGGAATCTGGCAGGGTCAAATTGGGAGGCTGATCACATTACTTTCAAAACCCTACATTGGTTTTGGACATTGGACACATAAGATAGAATATGGAATCACAAGTTGGGAAATGGTAGCACACTCAAACTTAAAAAAAAAATACAGTTGTCCAGAACCAAGGGCTTAGAATTGTAACTGGAGGTCTTAAGTTCACACCCACTAATGCAATAGAAATGCTTACTGGCTTCCAAAAAATGGAAGACAGGAAAGATATCAGATTCCTTAACTTAAGAGTGAAAGCAGGCTGTATTTCAAAACAACCACTAAAATAGAGAGTTGGAAAGAGAAACAACACCCAGATAAAGTCCTCTACATAAAATAACTCAACTCATCGATAAGCATCTCAAAAGTAATACCAAAGCAGAAGCCATGAAGCTTGCTGAAGACTTCCCGCCTTGGACATAACGGATCAGACCAAAAATCAATATAATGATAACAGGTATAACAGAGAAAAGTGACCTAAAAACTCACCTATCTTACGAATAAATGGGCAAGGGTATACACAGATGTGTCTGCTAAAAATGTCATTACAAACGGAGGAGGGGGCATCCAAATTGAATTCCCCAATGGACTCATCTCAACCAACTATAGAGCTGAGCATGACTCCACCCAAGATCCTGAAGAGTCTCAAGAGGTGCCTGCTATCATGCCTTGTATTCCTGACAGATGCAGCATCCATTCTTGAATGCTTAAAAAATAAATGGAAGAGTACACTAGGCACATTAGCTGAGGAGCTGGAAGATCTAAGATTAGCAACATCCCTAGGTTGGAGGAATGCAAAGCTATTAACAAAGCAGCAATAAGCCAGAGGAGGAAAGCAAGTCGCCCAAATCACAATCCCCAGGATGATTATTTTAAACTAACCAGGCTAACTAAAAAAGAACAGGTTTTAATTTTTCGCTTCAAGACTGAATATTACCGTCTAAAATTACATCTCTTCAGGAAATTCAAGATAGGGCCCAGCCCCATATGTGAATGTGACCAAAACGAACTAACCACAAAGCACATTCTGCAAAGCTGCCATCTATCTGGTGGTTGATTCTACGCCACAAAATACATGGAAAATTACATAACACATATCCTGGATCAAGCAACTGATCAATTTGTAATAGAGGCGGGGAGGTCAAGCGGGCTCACACATTGTGTAAAAGACATGCTGCCCAACAACATGACAAACCAAAGATTGCGAGTTCAAAAAGTGGCGCTGGAAAGACTTTTAACTGTAGCATTAATCTCCTAGCCCAGGAAAAACCCCGTATAGCCTAAAAGGTAAGGAAGGGGTGGACAAAAAAGAAGAAAATAATGTTCTTCCCATATAGAAGTTGATGGCTGGGTTTGTTAAAGTCCAAGCTTTAACATTCTCAAATTTGAATCCGGCCTGGGCTGCTTAACATTTACTTTGTGGCGGATCCATGGAATAAACTTGGATCTTTCCACTCTGGTTAGAATAGATTCGGTTATACCTCTAAAATTCCAGTTTTATATTGACAGTGAAAATAGGTAAGTGAAAATAATTACTAAAATTTAAAATGTTTTAATTCTTAATTTCACCTTAAATCTTTTTTTTTTTAACTCCTAAATAGTAAAAAACAAAACAAATATTTTTTTAGTTAATTTTACCTTTTATCAAAGGAAAAAATATCCTACTTCTTTAAGGATTGCTTAATATCCTAGAGATTCTTAAAATATTGTATACAATGCAAGAAGTTATGACTTTTGAATTATATTTATCACAGATAATTTAGTGTTTATATTGGATATTTTTAAAATTCAACTACCTTCAACAGAAACCTGTATATAACAAAGTCATCAACTCTAAAGGATTTTATTGTAGAAATGTTTCACTGAATATATAAAATATATAATACAGCTAACCTTCAGTTGTGCTCTAGAAAAAAGAGATCTGTCCGACAAAGAGAACCAACCACTGGCATGCTCCAGACCTGCCGTAATGGGAGTTAGGTCAACACCAGTTCGAAGTACAATCGGCCACTGGGAACTGCAATCACTTCCTCTGACTGGTTCATCTGTACCACCATTTAGATCGACAAATACCTCTAGTTCCCTATCACACTGTTATAAAACAATTATAAACATTAATCAAATTAAAATAAAATATTATTTTTATATTGTTTATTTCATTTTAAATAATAGAGAGAAAAACTAAATTGTATTTCAATAAATGACACAATAAAAAATATTATTGAAAATTAACCACATCTAATTTTCCTAAATAAATATATTTTTCCTGACTTAAATAATATTCCCAGACCCTGCTCTCAATATAATTAAAATTATTTTTTAAGAAAAATAGTCAACTGTTCTACATATAATAGGTGATAAATAGTCAGGATGCAGTCATTTTTAAGGTTTTTAAAGGTAAAATAAATAAAAAAGCAAAAGAATTAATTTCAATTTCTGCTTAGAACACATAAGACAATTTATTATGAAGATGTACTGAGAACTACAAGTTCTGAGGGAGGATTGTAAACAAAAATAAAAAATAGTTTGTCACGTAGGTCAATGTAGCTTTCTCATTATTTCTATTGAGGAAATACAAATAATAATAATAAAAGGCTTAGCCGACTCAAAGGTTCGATGTCTACACACCTCACTCCACTGGTCGCCTACCAAAGCCAGTTCCTTCAGATCGGCTCCTTAACGCAATCTTCCCACCTTCGGTTCGATCTACTCCTCGACACAGTAAATATTAACCTTTTGGGAATTCTTTCAATACTAAGTCGTCCAATAATTTTACAAGATCATTTAATTCGCTATGATGTAATCATCTCAATTATATTACCCGGATACAATTCAGGCAATTTGGCTTTGTATAATTGTCTGAACTCTCCAGCTGACTGATTCTTCTTCATTCCGAATAATCTATGCAATACTTTATTTTCAAACACCCTAAGTCCTTGATAATCCCTTGATGTAAACGGCCATGTTTTGTATCTATAAAAAACCGTAGGTAGGATAATGGTTTTATATGTTCTAATTTTTAAGTTCCAGGACAGGAAGCAAGAGCTAAGTAGTTTTGTCACAGAAAAATAAAAAGTATTTCCTGCCTTCAGCCAAACCTTAATCTCCTTTTCCATTTCGTTTTTTTATTTCTCGTGGACTCTAGATACCTAAACTTCTCTACGAGTTGAAACATATTCCCTTTTATATCGATATCACTGGCATTTTCACCATTTTTGCAGTTAATCATATATTTTGTCTTTTCCGTGTTTATTTTGAGCACTAGTTCTTTACCGGCTTTCATTAACATTGTTGTATTTAGTTTTAAATAAAAATATGGATATGCTTACACTTCCTTAAGATTTTATTTGTAAAATGAATATAATATTTCAATAAAAAATGTCTAATGAATTGTATTAAGTTAAAAAACTAATTTAAGCTCTTATTCCATGTTTTCTTGCTTGCCTACCAAATTTCATAGCCATTATATTTTTAACAATTACCTTCAATTTGCATCGTTGAAAGGAATCAAATTAAATTTATAACTGACTATTTTTGCACTACTACCCCACTTTTATGCCAAATCAAACGAGCCATTGTTGAAAACTAAGCATATCAATAAAAAATGTTGCATATCTGTGAGCAAAGTTATGGATGAAATTTGATAAAATTGAAAAAGCACCATTTTTTTACTCAAAGTAACTTCAAAGATTTTGAATTGAATATTGAGTCTAAGAAAGTAAATAAGCACCTGCATTATCAAAAACAGTGACTGGAATGTGATGAAATTTATCATATATTTATAAAGGATCCTTATTTACCATCCAACCTTCAGCAGAGAGGAAGGAAAAAATTGTTTCGGTATGATTTTTTTTAAATTTATTTAATTTATACTTTATTTTATCATTTTGTTAGTAATAATTTTTTGGAAAATTCTCTGCGTTTTGCGTTCCTAACAATTACCTGTATGCAGACACCCTGTATATATTATTAAATAAATTTCACACATCCAAGACTTTACCATTATCTTACATAAATAAGATTACATAAACAAGTAAATAGTAAATAATTTGGTTTTCTCACTTAATATTTCAATTAAATGATATAGCTTTAAATTATTAAACAATGATAAAATACCTTTTTCAAAAAATCTACGGGAAGATCTACATCCCAAGACTCATTCCAAATGGGATTAGATTTCTTTTCTACAATTTTAGTTTTTAATATCCTGGGTTTTCGATCGATCATGGCTGAAAAATAGGCATAAGATGTGGGCTTCACCATAGATATTTTACCATTTGGTTGTCTCACTTCAACTGAAGGTAAACCAAGGGCACGGCAAAGTTGTACTCTAACCTTGAAAAATTGTTCTTCTTTATAAGAAGTATATGATGTCTGAGTATCCTTATTTTGGGTAACAAAGTCAGTTTCAACCCCTATATCTTTGCTTTCTCTTCCGCCAAGTTCTTCTTTAAAACTTTTCAAAGAATCTAAAGACTTTAAGGTAGCATCAGTTGATTGAACATCATCTTTTTCAGAATCATTACTTATGCTCATGTTTCTCTGAATTCTTTTACTACTATCGCACAATCTATTGTTACTTTTAATGATACCAGGAAGATCACAATTTGTTTCAGGAAGTAAAGAGTCTTCTTCACTAATAATGTTTTCATTAATAGGCGATTTTTTTTTTTTTAAATTAATACTACTGTTTGTTTGATAAGGCATGTTACCTTCTTCATGTACTTTAAATATAGATGAATCACTATTTATTGAAAAAGACATATTTGAAAGTCTGGAAAATGGGTTAATAGGATTTTGTGTTGCGTCTTTCATAGAAAAAGAGGAATCACTTTCTAATCTGACATAACTGGGTTGGTTAGAGAAATGATGAACCATATGAGGAGGAGAAGACAAAAAACTATACTGAGACCTAGCTTCAAAATCCATAGACTCTCCCCTACTTGGTAAGTCAACCTTTAAATCAAAAAGTTCAAATGCATCACCACATGCTCTTGAATCAATGACTTCTGGAATAGTCTCGTGATTTGATACAACTGAATGGATTGGGCTTTTATTTTTGAAATTGTTATCTGCTTGTCTCTCTTTCATATCCCATAAAACTTCTTCAACTAAACTACTTAAATTTGTTGTTCCTTTCCCATTTGGAGCTTCAGCATTAAGACCATTGAATTCAGGCAGCTCATTTCCATGTCTATCAACAATATATTCCAAATTTAAGTCTCTTGCATGAGATATTTCATCTATAGTATTATTTTCCATAACGGGGATGGTATTTTTCTCAGATTCTTTTGCAGTTATAACTTGTTCATTTTGCAAATGTTCAATGGTTTGTGTTTTTAAATCATGATATATAGCATCAGTTCGTGCATGAACATTTGATTGAACAAAGTCAGGAGAATTTAAAATTCTGTTTCTGGAATTTATTCTAGATACTTGGGAAAAATCAGGCTTTAACTTATTAGGAATCTGATTAACTTCTCTGTTATCCGGCTCTTTATCATGGTCAAAATGCATTAGAGGAATATTTCTATCATGGAAAGAATGTATGCAATGCCCTTCATTTCTATTACATATCTCATGAGCAGAAGAGTACTCTTTACCTATGTCCCTCCATTCTTTATATGATGTAGAAGAAGCACAACTGTAACCTATAATAACATGCAATTCACCAAATGAACCTTTGTATCCATATGTTACAGAAGATTCAACAACATTGATGGGAATGATAATCTTTTCAAAAATAGCTTCTCTTTTCCTTTGTTGAAAGTATACCAGTTCAAGAGTACTTAATTTCATGAGTGGAAGAACAGCCTGGAATGTAGTAAAGAAAAATTATAAGCAAAAAGTAGAAACAGATCTTTTAATAATACATTGCTATCTATAAAAGAAAGATACAAATTATAATCCTCTTAAATAATTCAATCTTATAATGCAAGGTAGAATTGTGTAAGATAGTGTACCTTCCCCAGCATATAGTCTCGAGGTCTAGGTCTATAGTAACGACCCCAAACACTAAATGTGATTTCATGAACTGGTAAGGTCATGAGTGCCTTTGTGAGTTTACAATTTAACCTGATTTTATGCCGATTCACTGTTTTGAATTCCGTTTCCCTCAATGCCATCTGTATACCAGTTCCATTTGTTACTTTATCAAACACCACTAAGAAAAAATATATATATATATATATAAACTTGGGTTTCATTTTACTAGGAAATAAAATTATATAAACTTGGGTTTCATATTACTAGAAAATGAAATAAAATTTAACAAAAAAATAAATGTAACCCAAAACGTAAGACTGTAAAAAAATACAAATACTTTCTTCAATTCAAAGATGAAAATTAAAAATGGTTGTATTGGGGTATTTGGAGAGAGATTTTAGTTACAGGTAGTTTTCTATATTTTTATCACAACTTTGAAAATTTATGTTTAATAATTTGTTTATACATGGTATCACCAGATTCAGTATAAATTTATGACTTAAATTTAACAGTATTAAATTTTGAAAGCTCTTGGTTAATAAATATTGGTTTTACGAAGGAAAACATAACAAGTACATGCTTATTTTGAGCTGAAAATGTCTTCTCAACTTAAAATATTTCTAAAGTTTAAACGCCCATAATTCCATAACTAATGGTTAGAATTGAGTATACTTTGGTATTTTTACTTATTTGCATATTTACAAATTTTCATTAAGATCTGAAGGGAGTGGGTTACGGGCCCTGGATTAAAATTATGGAGTATATTTATATCAGTGACTAATTAGGTTTAAAAGATTGTTTAGAATTGTCTAATTAAAACTCCAAATTGAGGATGATTTTTTATTTCACAATCCTAAAACAAACTTCTTTGCATATTTATTGAAGAAGAGATTAATGAACAATAATAAATATATTCTAGGTTGTTACAAAAGTTTTCATTTGTCCAATATAAAAAATTAATATAAACTCATCAGGTATTACTACTAGGTGAATATTCCACTATTTTCACCCATCTTCCTGTGAACAGGTGATATTGGAAATTAAACTATTTCTCATAGTTTTCAATAATAATAATCCATCCACCTGGGCAAAACAAGAAGCTGACTCCTTTTACTTCTAGAAATTTTGCCAAATGAGAAAGGAATAGAGAGAAATCATACAGCAGAAATATTTATTTATCCAGTATGGGATTATATGGATTTTTTATTGCCTGAAGTTTATGACGCTCTCCAAAAATTCAGAGAGCTAAGGACATATTACATAAAACAGCCATTAGGCCGGTTGTGTCTTATGGCTGTGAGACTTGGGTATTTTCCAAAGAAAGTGAAAGAATATTAAAAGTTTGGGAAAAGAAAGTACTCAGAAGAACATATGGACCTGTCTGCGAGAATGGCAACTGAAGAATAAGAAAGAATGAGGAACTGAAAGAAATAGTCCAAGAACCAGATCTGGTTTCTTTTGTTAGAAAGAATCAGTTGAGGTGGCTGGGACATGTAGAGCGGATGGCGGTGAATAGAATATCCAAAAAATTACTGGATGATAAGCCTGGAGGAGAAAGAGTTAAGAGGAAATCCACAATTAAGATGGTCAGATGGTATAGAGAGAGATGGGAATCAGAGGATGGAGGAGACTCACCCAGAATAGGGAAGAGTGGAGTAGGATTGTAGAGGAGGCCTAGGCCCTTGCACTAGAGGATCCAGAATTTAATTTTGGGGGAGGAGGCTTCAGCCCGAAAGCTTTTTTTCAGTAAAAATAACGATAATTACTTTGGAAAAAAAGAAAATCCTAATTACCTATACGAAATGGTGTTTAAGTGATTGCTTAAGTCCTTTTAAATGTAATTACATGAACAATAATACTTTAAGAGATAATTTTTTAATATTTTTCCCTATAAAACATCGTTATATTTTACTATTTTGAGGGGGCTTCAGCTCCAAAGCCTCCCCGTGGGCCCTTGTAGGGCTGTAGCACCATGGAGTAATTAAGTAAATGACCTGCAGTAATCTATTTAGCTGTATAAAAATTATAACCAATAGTTCTGGTATGCAAAACAAGTTCAACAAGTCAGCTTCTTGTTTTGCCCAGGTGGATGGATTATTATTATTGAAAACTATGAGAAATAAATATCCCTTTATTGTTTCGCCAAATGTAAAGCATTTCTTTTTTTTTTTAGGTAAATGTTAAAGTGTTAAAATAAAAGTTGGCGATATTACCATTTAAAGTTCCTTAATCTTCTTCTGCAGATATTTGCTCACCTTTTGCCTTTATACTTAAGTCTACTTTTGTTTACAATGGTTGAAAATTAATATTTTTTCCATGGTCATTCTTACTGCAATATACAATGAAAAAAAAAATAAAGATAAAATTAATTAATTATAAGAAGAAAGGTGTATAATTGAATAAAGGAGTCAATTTTATATGTTACTCTAACATCATTAATGTTCTAATGCATAAAAACTTTTGTAACAACCTTTTAATAGGAAAAAGTAAAATAATATTAAAAAAAATATTTTTAATAGGGGAATATATTTCCCTATATATTAGGGGCACCATAAAACAAAAATATAAGCATGCATATATTTATATTTACTTTTGCCACTGCAGTCTACTTTTGGGAAGATATAATCAACATAGCAATCCATATCATTGTCCCCAGTGAACAATGGAATTCCAACAACTTTTTCAACCTTCACAGTGAAATCATGTATTTTAGTTTTTTCAAAGTCCAATGGTAAACCTACAATTTCTTTTTTTCTGTCTGAAAATTCATCTTTGTAATTGAAGCACATTTTAGAAAAATCTTCATAATTATTATCTTTTCTATCAAAATGTCTTCCTAATTTGCTGCACTTTTTAAATTCATTATCACAACGAGCAGTTTTACATGGATTATTGTCTTCTGACTGTTTTAAAGAAATTTCTTCATTCCTATAAGCATCAGCACTATCCCTAAAATCAAATTTATAACAAAAATAATAAAGAATATAAATTCAATACAAATCACAAATCAAAATAGTGAAGATAAAAAGTATGACATTAGTGAAATAGCAAGAAACAGAAACTAAAGCGATTAAAGAGATATTTAGAAATATGTAAATCATTTACACTGGATTTTGGTTATTAATAGTTGCAGGCTTTGGGTGAGAAACAGCGCTGCTATTTAATGGGCTTTATTCCTTCTGTCTGACACTTTATACCAAAGTAAATTGATCTTAACCTAGCAAAACAGATACTTCTCTGGGTTGATGGTGAGGTCAAATTGATCTAATCGACATACAACATGTCAGAGGTGTTGCTAATACTAACATCATTCAATTTCTGTTTATGAGGAAATTAGGATATTATAAAGAAATGCAAAACAGAAGGTAATAGCTAAATTCATGATCCATCATATTCTGAAAAGTTTTGTTAGCTACACAATCAAGAACATTAATTTTTTTTGTTTCTGTTGGCTTTGTAGACATTATAGATCTTTTGTTGATTTAACCAGACTTCTACACCTCTGCCTATCTTGGACTATTTTTTCCAATTATTTTTGTACAACTCTATAGCATCTTTGTTGATTCAATCTGTCCATCTGGTTTTTGGTATTCCATGTGGTCTCTTTTCAACAATTGAGGCATTCATTGTTGTGTAGAGACTAACTGATGGATTGCTCTGAGATATGTGTCCCATCCATCTTAACCTTCTTGCATTTATATGAGATACTGATTAACCAGTTTCTGTAAACAATGCTTTGTTGGTCCTTCTCTACCATGCGTTAGTACTCTGGTCCCGGATCATTCTAGTTTTAATAAAGGAGATTTTTCTCTCAAATCTATCAATACTTCTTTATAGGGTGTTGGTTAGTGTTCAGATCCTGTAGACCTATATCAGAATTAGCTTTGTCATTGTACACTCATAATTCGTTAATCCATAAATAATAAAGAAAGTAGCAATGGCTATCTTTTGAATGTCAAATTCCAAGATGGAGACCTGATACTTGGTATAACATAAATGTAGACAAGAGAATATAGTCTTACAATGGAGGTTGACATTGAAATCTAACAGATTCAGGAAATTGTAGCGATCTGGGGCTATGCAAGCATTTAGTCCTCTAAAACCATTATAGAAAGCAATTATACCATATTTGGAATCACATATAAAGTACTTGGACTATCAAGACAGATGGAAGATACCTCTCTCTATAAATCTATGGAACTCTTTCTTAACAGCATTAAAGTGTTCCATAGAGAACCTATGTATCTTGGATATCAGCCTATATGGATTGGATATTGTCTAGTAGTTTCAATGTGATTGAATGCTAGAACAGAGATATCTGAGATAATATAAAGTCGGCTATCTAAGGAAACTCTTCAAATAGGTAAAGGGCATGCCATCTGGAACAAAAAATGTGGTTGAAGTGTTGACTTGAAGTAACTTTCACTTAGAAGCCAATCCTGTGCTGTTGACAATAAGTTTACACTAATGATGAGCACATTTGAAACTATAAAAGTCAAAGAAAAAACATTTCTGCACACTTTGTTGATATTCGCAGTTTTAGTTTCATGGGCAAGGATGTGGACACACTTTGTAGCATATAGAAAATTGTCATAAGGTGTCTTTCTTTAGGTAAAGGAGAGAGAATTGATACAGTAGCACCTGAGTCAATAAGAAATACTATGCAAAACTAGTCAGGTATGGAAAGGCACATTTGATGATGTATGACAGCGGGGTGCCCATCCCCTCCCCAAGGTCAATGACGCAAGAACCTACCTGCTCCCCTCCTCCCAAGATATTTTATTGCATACCTTTTCTTAAAACCAAAAGAAGCTAAGGCAGAATTAGAGAAGTCGTAGATCATATACAATTACACTTGCGGTCTGTTTTATGTTTCCCCCTTGGTCCCTTAGTTCGAAAATTCGTAACCACATCGAATTTCCCCCCCCCCCTCAAATATTCAAAAACCCATCAAAATATGCCTTCCTCAAAACATTTTATAGCACAACTTGTGCTCTTCTGGGCACCCCTGTATGACAGAGCTTACATGCTGACTTTTGTCAGTTCTTTCAACTACAAAGACTCTCACACACTTCTTAGTTGCTAAGTTGAGAAGTGGAAGATTGAGTAGAGACTGGAGATGAAATGGAGAGAACATTAATATCTTATGGAAGGGGGAGGGAACGTGATGAACCTCATGAACGCTGTCTATAGTGGTGGCTAATTAATCAAGAGAGGTGCTATCAGTCACAGGTAAAATCACTTGAGTACTGGAAGGTAAGGACAAGGATCTAAGCTAAAGTGAGTATAACATTTTCTTTGATGCACAAGAATCAGCAAGCTGCCACATGATCCTGAGACATTAGGAGGATTTCAAAGTTGACTACCAACTGCATAATTTGCCTATTTCTAGACTCTGAAAATGTATCTATGAGGCAATCTTTCAGTACTTCACAACAATTGATAGGAAGCTGCCTAATTATATCTGTAAAAGACCTCAAAATGTCAAATTCCAGCTTAGAGACCTCTATTAATATTACAAAAAAAAAATAAATAAAAAAAAAATCATTTCATTTTCACTATTAGTTTGAGAATTCTTCCTGGGTTAACATTTCAAAAGGGAGGAATTTTACAGAGGGTTATAAAGGCTTCATGTGATAAATCATTCATTGGGGTCAGGTTACCACTTTTAGGAGTTCATTCAAAAACAAAACCTTTAAAAATAAAATCACACTAAAAACTCTTAATGATATTATCATGTGAAATAATAAAACTCAAATGAATATCGTGAACTACAAACAATAATAAATTAAAAAATACTTACAATACAATTAAGAGCTATGGTAGGTGGCAATCCTACTAAATTAAAATTAACGCTATTTGTACAAATATAAGTACTCAGCCCACTAATAATGTAGTCAGCCACTACTAATTACTAAAAATCATTCAATAGTGGCACAAACACAAAATAAGTTCTGTGTACAACTCAAAGATAACCGGTAGCCCTTCTGTTTAGTCCCAAGAGGAAGGATCAGTTTGTGTATAGAAGTAGGCAAGTTGTATCCGGATGGTAGTTATTGCTATTTCATTCTCCTTGACACTGACATTTCCTGGTAAACAATTATTCCATGCCAAAAAAGAACAATCTTACAAAAGACAAAATTCCTGAAAATATTTCTCAAGTAATGATGTGGTCTGTGTTGTGTTATCATTCATTCATGTACTTAAAACAGATAAATAGCTAGATTTTAATCAAAACGGTTCCTAGCACCTAATAATGATATTGTCCCAGTTATTCAATAACGATTTCTAGCTTGTACAAGATCAGATGCAAGCTTTCTTAACTTAACAATTACTCTAATTACAGTATAGTAATTTAATATAAGTTTTAATTATAAAGAAGTTTTCTGTTATTGAAGCAACAATTACTTACTTTACAGGTTTTTGACATTGACAAAAACAATTAGTTTCTGTAAAAGGCAGAGTAGTCTGTACACAGGCCTCGTGTTTTTCAACTACAGGATTCTTATTCACTATGTCATCTGTTGATAATTAAAATAAATATTATCGTTAACATTTTATTCAGTCAATAAAAAGAAAATTGTGTAAAATATCTTATGTGAACTACAGAAAAATATATAAAGATATAGTAAATTAAACCATTTTTCTCATACACTTTGAGTTATTTTTTTTTTTTTTTTGTCTTTTTTGTTGTCATTATTTGTGTTTTTTTTTAATGTTAGTGTTTTATGAGTAACAACACAACAAACTCATTTTTGTAATTAATCAGGGAGATAATTATTTTGGACAACGGCTAATTTTTGATAAAACATAAATAAACTGTTTTTACTAAATATTCTTATTCTTGTATTTCTTCCGGTTCGAGTCTTATTGGCACAGAGGGACCTAGATCCAGCACTGCCAGTTTTCCTAATTGCCGGTCAAGTGGTTCATTTCTGCGAGGGTCTTGCCTTTGTTAACCCCTATCGCCTGGATATATTCCTGATCGAAGATTCTTGACTAGCCACATGGTCTTCTACCTGTTGATCTGGCTCACAGTGGCTATCTAGGTTCTCTCACTTCATCCATTCAATAAACGTGTACAAACTATTTTAACTGTCTGCTTTCTATAGTCTTCAATGGAGGCACTTCTAACTAAGATTCCTAAAGGGCAAACATGTTCTTCTTCATTAGTAGGGACTCATCAGCACATTGGAATAACTTAAACATTTTGGTGAGGCATGATACAGACATTCTTCATTTGCCAGATAAAAATTCTCTAAGTGAACTTCAACCTCCATCCAACTTATTATGTTTTATAGAGTAGAATTGAACACTTTTAAGCGACTGGTTGTGATGAAATTAACAATGCTGGGGCCCAATAAATATTTAAAATTTTAAATATATTAAAGTTCGTCTAAGAGATCTAAAAAAATTAAAGTGTCTATCTTAGAGATATAAAAATTTCAAAGCAGACTGTTTTACATTAAAACAATGGAAACATCATTTGTATAACTGACTTTTAAACATTGTTGGCATAAAAACATTTAAAAAAGAACTGATTTCCTTTAGCAAAACCTTTAATTATTAAAAATCTACAAAAGTTTAACTTCTTTTTTCTATTGTTACAGACCATGCAGATCTATGGCGAGCATAACCAGCCTTCTCTATCTCTCTCTACCTTGGGTTATTTTTTCCAATTAGCTGTAGGCAGATCCGCAGTAACTATATTGGTTTTTTAGTCTTAAAAGCACTTATTGTTGTGTACAGATTTCCTGGTGGATTGCTGCAAGCTACATGTCTTCTTAGCCATTTTAAAACTCCTTATCTTCATACCACGAAATATTGATTAACCAGTTTCTATAAGTAGTGCTTTATTGATCCTTCTCCTCCATGCGATAGTACTTTCATCCCAGGTAGTATTTTCCTCATTATCATACCATACTTCTTTCAAGTTAACTAGTAAGTGTTCAGGTCTCACAGCCGTATATCAGCATCATCATCATCATATCTGGCGCAACAACCCATCACTGGGTCTGGGCCTCTAAGCGTCCACTGGTTGGCACGGTCCTGGGATGCAGCTGTCCAGTTCCAGATTTGTAGGTCTCTTGCATCCACAGACACTCTGTCAAGCCATCTTGCTTTAGGTCTTCCCAATCTTCTTGTCCTGTGTGGAGTTGCTTCGACATTAATAGTTTGGGAATCGCAGAACCATCCATTCGAGAAACATGGCCAGCCTAATGTAACCTTACAATCTCAATAAACTTGACCGTGTCCACCTCTTTGTAGATCTAAAGATCTCGATTTTTTTCTTCTGAGCCATACATTCCTCTCTCTAACTGGTCCAAAGATTTTTTGGAGGATACTCTGTTCGAACGTGAGAAGTTTTCCTTTATCTTTCTTTGTGGTAGCCCAAGCTTCTGAGTCATAGATTAACACTCGCCATATCAGCGTCTATTATAGGTGAATTTTGATTTTATTGCCCAGAGAACTACTTTGTAAAGGTTTCGACAGGCTGAAGGAGCATCGGTTAGCGGCAGTAATTATTCTTCCAATTTCCAGGCTGAGGTCATTGCTTGAACTTAGTTCTATGCCTAGATAGGTGAACGATTATACCTGCTGTAACTTATTATTATCATGGCACTACGGTCCTGCAAAAACCCGGGCCTCCTCCACTGCAGAAAACCAATCTCCACGGTCTTGTGCTACTTCCCTCCATCTTCGAAGGCCCAACTGCCTCAGATCGTCCTCCATCCTGCAGCCATCTATTTCTTTTGCCATTCGGCTTCTTATGCAGCATCATCTTTGGCATTCTTTCCACATGACCTAACTGTCTGATTCTGGTTTTTTTTATCAATGGCGCAATAGCAGGTTCACCATAAAGTTCCCACAGCTCCTCATTCTTTCTTCTTCTCCAAATTTCATTTTCAAAGATTCTGCTCCACATTCTTCTCAATACTTTCCTCTCCCAGGAGTTCAGTGTGCATTCTGAGTTTTTGGTAAAGTTCCAAGTCCCACACCCATACATAACCACTGGTCTTAGTATGGTTTTGTAAATGAAGATTTTGATTTTTTTAGAGAGTGATCTGAATTTCAAGTCTCTTTGCAGTGAGAAATAGCATCTATTTCCTGCTGCTGTCTTGGCGTTTATTTCACTCTCTATTTTATTACTGCATGTGACCAGGTTTCCAAGGTACTTGAACTGGTCAACAGACCTAAAGTTGTGATCCCTTAAAACTATTTCCGTATTCACTTCCTTTTCCATTTTTGAACTTTTCATATACATTGTCTTATTTACATTAACTCCATAGTCCAGTTTAGCTGCTGCTTCTTCGAATTCCTGGAAAGTTTCTGATAATGGTGCTTAGGTTTTAGAGATAATAGCAACATCATCGGCATATGCTAGATGTTGAGACAGACGATTTTAGATTGTTCCTCCTGGATTTGTACGAATGGAACGAATAGCCACTTCCAGGGCTAGATTAAAAGAAAGTGGAGATAGAGGATCATCCTGTCTCCATCTATTATCCACTTCAAATTCTTCGGACAGCGAATTAGAAAGTTTCACTCGACAGGTTGTCTTCATTAGTGTAATTTATGTAAGTCTGACCAGTTTTTTGGGTATGCCTATATCTATCGTCATCAGCTGTAACTTATATGATCCCATTTCTAGGAATGGCTCCCTGACTCCTCCACCACCACCCGCACACAGTTATTTTGTTTTGTGTTCATTAACAGCAAGTCCCAGCTCCTTTGCAGCCTTCTCCAACACCAGAAAGGCCTCTTTTAGAGCATGCACTGATCTGGCTAAATGTAAAAATCATCCACATAACTCAGAAGTTGAACCAAGCTGGAAAGCATTGTCCTGGAAGTTTGAATTCCTGACGATCTTACAGCTTTCTCGGCTGTCAAATTGAAAAGATAGGCAAGGACATCACCTTGCCTAATTTCGCTGTTGGTGCCAAGAGATTCCGATATATCTGTTCCAACATGCATACTTAGAATTCTCCATTGTCGTCTTGACGAGACATATTAAATTCCTCGGAATATTTAAGTCTTCCATGGCTTTGTACAATTTTCTTCTATTCACACTGTTGTAGGACGCCTTAAATTCGATAGAAAGGTGATGGTTTACCATATTATATTTAAGACTCTTTTCTAGTGTAATTCTGATAGAAAGAAGGAGGTATGTAGTTGATCTTCCCTTTGTAAATCCAGCCTAATAATTCCGTGGTTCTTTTTCTGTGTGCACTTTTTATATGCTAGTTTGACCGCTGATAGTCGGGTGTGGTCTATTTTGCCAACCACTGCTACTCCCTCTCCCCCGCTACCATTGGTCCCTGCTTATCCAATGTAGTTAGTTCCCTTACCCAATGTGATAACCCTGTTTATAAGGTTATAATAGCTACTAATAGTAGTAATTATTATTTTCCTCACCAGAAGTCTTTTTCTAATCAATTATACGCTATAATAAGAATAAGAATAATAAATAAAATTGATTAATCTATATAATTAGTCAACAATCAATTTGGAAAAGTATATCTAACATAGTTAAATCATATTTACCAGATTTTGAATTCAAAAGATCAATAGTTTTCAAAATTTCTTCATCAAGCCGAGTCACAGGAAATACCTCATCAGAGATAGCAGTAGCAGGACTCGTAGAATGAGAAGAGCTTACAACTTCAAGTGGTTCGGATTGTATTTTATGAGTAACTTTTGAAGAGAAGTTATCATTATCGAACTCATTCATATCTTCAAGATTTTCTTCAGGTTTTTTTGTGATTTGGAATATTCCTTCTTAAAAATTTAAATCAGATCAAAAAAACATTAAAAATGAACATCAGGAATCTATAAAATAATTAATCAATCTTAAATTGTTCCCACAATTATAATTCACAAGATACAAGAGACAGTAGATATAGCATGGACATATTTCTTCATTAAGTAAAATAAAGTAGGGCCAACAATAAATAATATCAGTGATTACTTAATAAAATCATATATCTGCTTAATTTGGAAGAATTTGAACAGTCTTCAATAGAACTCTGTGGTCCTGCACAACCTTATTAAGGGTATCAATATTGCTGACAGATGAAGTAAATAAATCAGCAAGACAATTTCCTGGTAGAAGCCTGATACTAGTATAATTGTATTATTTGAAATTTTATTTTACTTTACACTATTCATAGAATTAGAGTGGTCAGGATTATATTTTAATATTTTGATTTGTACCCAGGCAAATCTAAGGCTCATGTATTAGAGTCTTGAGTAAAAACAAATTTCCCATCTCGACTAAAGACAATTAGGTTTTTAGTACAAAAACATTACTGCAAAGAATATGAAATAGAAGTTACTACAATGAGTATAGCAAATTGGTATGCATTTGAGAAAGCTATAGGAATGTTTTATGCAATTAAAAAAAAAAACTCATAATAAATAAAATATTTATGATGATAAAATAAACCCATGATATGAAAACAGAGAAAATTAAATAAGATCATTAGATATAATTTAAAAATAATTTTTATTTACCTTTTAAATTGTCTAGTACTCCTAAACTTATAGTAACATTAAGATGTCCTGTCAAGAGCCTAGTATTACTATAAATAGGAAGACACACAGAATAAGCACCAGTATCTGGATTTAAATTTTCCAACTTAGCAGAACCCAGTGGGCATGGTAGTCGCTGATTCAAATGCCTCCAAGAGACATTAAAGACTGATCCATTTAAAAGAGAACATACACGAGACCAAGTTACAGCACCACATAAGCGATGAGTACTTCCTTGATCAAAGTCAACACCTTAAAAAATAAAAACTTCTATATAAATGCAGTTTTAATAAATTATTACATGGAAGATAAAATCAATAATCTAAAAAGATTATATCAATCATTAAAGCTAATTAGGCCAAAAAGATTGAAGTCATGAGAAGTTTTAGGTTAGGCCTGGTTTTTTTTGTACCTAAACTGCTCGTAAATGAACAGAGATATTGTTAGTTATGTATGATTTATTCTTCCTAGAATTTTTATTGAAATTAGAATGTATTAAAATAAATACAAATAAGATTCTATTTGACCATACCGGACAACATTGATTTCACTTCCATCAACTACATTATCTAAAATGGTATCTTCTTTTTCAAGTACATTAAATATTACTATATTATTTTTTCTGCCCCTTTTCTCTATATTTTTTTATCCTTTCTTACAATTGAGTTAATTTTTTCGAGTTCATCGATTTTGTTTTTACATACTTAAGTTCTGATGGAATATTTTCCAGTAAGGTGTTAATTTTTTCTACTGTTTCTTTTACATTTTTAGTTTCAATTTTGCTGCTGTGGATTTCAATTATTAATATCTGAAGTGTCACAGATTCATCGTTTATTGAATTCATATTGATACTATTTGAATTACCACTCATTTTTACTTTCACTTACCTATATATGTAATATATAGTAAGGGAAAGTATAGCAATCTTGACAATTTTCAACGGAATACACCTTTTGAGGTACCCTGAGTCCAATTAAGCAAGTTCCAAAAAATGGCCTACGTGTATGTGAACATCCTAGCTCAAAAATGAAGTCGGAATAAACCTAAATTGCGTATTTAAGGTTTTTATATAGTTCTGATGTGGCAGCAACATTTTCGTTAAAATCGGCTAACCGGAAGTGCCACTTGATATCAATGGTGAAACACAATTTTACAATTTTCTCAAAAACAGCTAACAATTTTGATTAAACTTGGTGTATCATTGTATAATTAAGTGGTCTTTAATACCATTTAGGTCTTATCTCTATTGATGTCACTTTCCAGACCTTAAATGCCCAATGGTCATATACGTCTTCCTCTAATGTACCTTTAATATGGATTATTTTTAAAAAATGACTTTTATTGACAGAAACTATAAAAAATGGCTAAATATGAAGTTTGAAAGAATATGATAATTAGAAACTGAAGAAAAATAGAAAAATGATTATCCAGGTTGATAATGAATCTACAGAAATAATAGTCAGAATATATAAGTATAATATATCATTGGAAAGCAGAGAATTTTAGAAAAATAATATCAAATAAATAAAGTTGTAGAAGATTACGGAGAGAGACGAAAAAAATATAAATAATAATTTCCGAAAACTAATATTATTTAATCTAAATCACATGTTTTCAAGAAAATTAAATGAAATTTTCTTACTAAATGTAATCTTTTAAATTTTTCTAAATAAATTAAAAAAATATTTAAAATCCACCAAATCAAGCCAATTCCATTGTTTCAAATACTATTTAATTGTACATGTGTGAAAGAAAAAGTGAAATATAAAAATATTTCATGGATATGCTTATAACCTTAAATATATTTACAGTAGTTTAATAACTCTAGAGATGATATTATATTTAAATAATGAGGTATCTATTGGCAATTTATTCCAAAAAAATCATCAAGTAACTTTTTAGAAAATTTAATTAGTGAATAATTTGATGAATTTTTCCATTGTGAAATCCCAACATTATCTACTTACGATTAGTGTGACAACTTTTGACCTAACCATGGCAGGCAATGAAAATCTCGTAATATCTTTTTAGTTAACTTTACAATGGGAAATAACAGTGTAATAACTAATAGTCCTACAATAGATAATCAATTATAGGTTAAGTATTCAGATGTAGTTTCAAATCTCTCTAGGCATATATGAGCCTTTCGGTTGACAGAGTGACTAACTACAATTTCGACATTGTTTATTATTAATTTTAGTGACGTTTCTAGTGACAAAATTTATACCTTTATTCAGTTTTATATTTCAAAAATGCAATAACCAACTCTGGAATTAACTTACTGACTTTCTGTATAGATACAACTTTTCCAACTAGAAATATCACTAAAATGACATTACTCAAAAATGTTGAAATTGTAGTTAATCATTCTGTCAACTGAAAGGCTCAGAGACTGACGTCGTGTGGTTTATAAAAGCTGATGGAGTAACTTTTAATTTCCTACCATCAAAGTAATAAATAGACTTTTCGTAATGGTCTTAATGATCCGTAAGCTTTAAGCTTTAGCTTCGTTTAAAATGCACTTCATAATTTTTTATAACAGCACAAAATTGCCTGAAAATAATTTCTATTCAAAGTACAATGCTAAGTGAAAGTTGTGTATTGCGGTATTGGTGAAATATTATGACAACAATGAGTTGGCTATTGATAATTTTCCCATGATGTAGACTGCCTGCTTGCACTGGTGCTATTCCTGTTTCAAGTTAGAAACACTACTATATCGACTATATTGATCCAATAATTAATTTAAACCACTTACATTACATAAAAACACAAAGGATCTGCACCCTACTGTAATCTAGTTTATGAAACCGACCCAGCCATAATTATAGCTAGTACCGATAGAATATTAAATAAATATATACAACAACAAGAAAACATTGCTAAGTTCAGCAGAAGTTTTTTTTTTCTGATAATGATCAGATCATCCCCCAATATTTGTTGATGCCAACAAACTATAAATACACAAAATTATTAATGCAGATCTGTCTTTTGAGTAAATGATTAAGGTTATTGTAAATAATAAAATTTTTAAAATCATTCCATAGGTTGAGTGCAAAATGTGAAATTCATCATGTATTATGACAATAGTATTAGGGTAAGACTTTATCAAGGTAAGCGAAATCTTAATGGGATAGAAATCCTACCACTATAGATGATATGAAAAGATTTTATTTCTTCATCTCTAAGATCTCAAACTATAGAGAATTGTTGAGGTAAATGATACAAGATCCTCTAAATATTATAGGAACTATATACATTGGATGTATATATGTTGGTATGTAATCTGTTCCAGTCTTTGTTTATTTACTTTTTTTAGCACTCTTTTAATTTATCTTTTGAACACGGTTTAATATTAATATTTAGAGAACATAATTTTTATATAAAAATTTAAATGCTCAAAGTTTGTCATTATTTGAAACAATTTCAAGTGGTTATACACAATTAATGATTTAGTCCATCATTATTAAACACTCTCTGTAATTAAAAATGAAAGTCCAAATTGACACAATTGTATTAACATCAATAATGAATAGGATAAACTAAAACATGTGTATCATTAAGCTATTCAAAGAAGTTATAAATTGATATAAGATGTCCTCCCCATATGTGAATAAGACAGCCAAGGGTAGGTTAGTCTACTAGGTGGTCATCTGATTCTGGTTGATCTCCTTAAAATGAAATCTGGAGGTGATTGACTTTGAGATGACTGAACCAACAGCTTCCTAACAGGACCATCATCAAGAAATGGTTTCATCATTGTTGTTGACCCATTCATTAAATGGATTAAAATATTGCAAATGAAATTTTCATCAAGCCAGAACACAGTCATTGAAAGAATCTTTTTCCCAGAATCAATTTTTCAGATATAATGAAATACATCATTTAAGAACAGTCAATATCCTCCTTCAAATGTAAAGCAAAGCTATTGCTTAAGTAATCAAACAAGAATTATGGATGATGACTGATGGACCAGGGAACCTGAACTTACAATTCTAAGTTCCTAATGTAGTACCAGAAGAAGTTCTGCTATCCTAATTGAGAAGAAACCAAAACAGACGAGTAGTTCGAGGTTTTGGCTGTTGAACTCGTAACAGCTGGAGATGCCAATAAGCTTCCACTAACAACTGAATAATCAAATTAAAATATAAGTAACATTAGGTTAGTTAAAGAAGTTATAAATTTATATATCACGGTGGATCGATTATAACCGAGTATGAAAAAATAGGTAACCCAAACAATGCTAACACCGTAGATATTTTAAGTTAGTTAGAAATACTTAGTCATTTGATTATAACAGGTAACTACACATACAAACTTTAATTAAACTTAAACTAACAATTTTATAACACTTACGTTGGCCCTTTAACTTTTTGGTGAGAAATTTGATACTTCGTGAACTGAATTCTCCTTTAGATGGGAACTTTATTTCTAAAATAAAGTAAGTACCTGGAGGATTGTGATTATGACCTGAAATCAAGTGTATTAATTATATTATAAACTTTAATATAATAATCTAATCAAATAATAAAACTAATCTTGATAACTGTTTATACCTGGAACATAAAATATCTTCCTGCTTCCATCTGAACTCAATTTCAGTGAAGAAACAGCAATACGGTAGCAATTGAATTTTGTTTCTTCTTTTTTTTTTAAAACAGTTTCATCTACGAACATTGACATCAGAATTTTTATATAAATAAAGAAAACTGAGCAAATAATAAAACCAATAAAAAAGATTAAGTAACTTCCAATATGTTACCATTCTTTCAAAGATTAATTTATTAGTTTTAATTCTATTTTTTCTGAACTCTATTCTTTATTAATCAATTTTCTTCATCTTGTCTTACCCAATAAAAACTGATCAGCTATTAAATCTTTCATCCTTCTATAGGATTTGGCCTGCCATCTTTATCCAGAGTTTCATGTTGATATTGAGACACAGAATGGAAAATAGATTAAAATACTTGAAACATTGAAGGTCTAAATATGAAGGAACTAGAGATGATAAAGGAAATGGTGCAGGCTAGATTTAATATGATAAAAATCATAAAAACAAAGGAAAATAGAGATAAAAAATAGGACAAAATAAGGTTCCACTTATTTTTAATGGAACTTTCATTTCAGTTATATTATACATATATTTATATATATAATATCAGTGGGGTAGCTCAGTGGAGGGAAGCTGACTTCCAATGCTCAATGTCCTAGGTTCGAGTCCGGCTGATAGCAAATAAATTATTTATTCTGTTTCGTCAGCCGTGGATTAATTTCGGGGTCAGGAGACCCTCCTGAGGGATACACAACCTCTACAAAATGGGCAGCCTTACTTAAATAATTAATTAAGGGGGAAAACCTGGCAGTTGAGCATGATCTCGGTCAAATAACCTCCTTGCAAACCAAACCTCCTTGACTAAGAAACAGTACTTCCTTATAAAGTACTGAACCAAAGACCCTTCAAGGGCTTTAGTGGTAGTTTGCATGGAAACATTTATTTTCCATTAAATAAAATAAAAGTAGAATAATTACTAGTCATTATTTCCTCGCCATTGGAAGATATTGTCCAGGTTTGAGTTTGGTTATGAAAGATAATTTTGTATATATTGTGTTATAAAAGTTGTGTATCAACATTTTGGTCAGGAAACCCTACAGGAGCACACTCAGCTTCTATAAAATGGATACCCTTATCTGACTAAATGGTTTCTATCTTATAACTTGTAAATTTAGTTGATACACTAGACAATTAATCTCATATTCATGTAGATAAAATAGACCTTGATAAGCAAGTTGATTGGGTTTAGTCCATGGTTACTTATCAATGTCTTTAAATTTATCCAGCTATATCTCTCACTAGTAATTATCTATACATGTTTATGGAACTGTGGATTTAAAAATGTATGGAAGCTGCTTCAAGTGACCCCTAACGATAAAAATCGAGAGGATCTGTAGTGTGATACCGAGTAACCACTCAGTTACTTGCCTTTCTAGGTGTGTTGGGAAATAACCATCACTTTGTTATCATTTTCTACTTTCACTTATGTACAGATAAAATTTAACTATCTATCTATCGAAACTGACATATCTATCTATCTACAACTCGCTTAGCAAGTCATGGCCTCTGCCAACACCATCCGCCAGGTGTCTCTGCTTTGTGCTGCCACCATGCACTCTCGAACTCCTAGCTTCCTGGCATCTTTGTCCACGCTGTCCCTCCATCTTAACTTTGGTCTTCCTACTCGTCGCGCTCCATGCAGGATTTCAATCAAAACCTTCTTTGAGATCATGTCGTCTCTCATTCTGTCCAAATGACCTGTCCATCTGAGATGGCCTGCTCTTATAAAATTGACAATATTGGTCTCATTAAAGCGCTGGTAGAGATCTTGAAATTTATAGTAAGGGAAAATATTGCAATAATAAAAAATAAAGAATTTGAGATTTAATTGGAAATACACGTTTTAAGGTCCCCTGTGTCTAAATAACAAAGTTCCACAAAATGGTCTGTGAGTGCGTATGTGAACAGACCAGCTCTAAAATGAAAAATGGAAGGAAAATGAAATTTTATATTTAAGGTAAGTAGATGCATGTGACGTGTCAAAATTGACTAAACACATTACATCATTAATTTATACAATTTTCTAAAAAAAAAATGGCTCAGAGGATTTTGATTAAACCAATTATGGAAATGTACAATTATGTGATTTTTAATATAAGATAGGTCTTATCCTAACTGATGTTTTTAACAGGGATAAAATTCTTTATTTTCAAAATGGCTTCCTCTAAAGTACCTTTAATATAGTTTATTCGAAACAATTAACAGTATATTGTGGTTAGTAATAATAAGGAATGACTGAATATAAACTACAAATGAATTTGATAATTGACTGAAAAAAAAAAGGATTTTTTAGTTTGAAAACAAATTTCCAGAAATAAGAGCCAAAGTATATATGTATAATATATTGTTGGAAAGCTGAGGATTTTAGAAAAATAGTATCTTATATATTAAGTTACAGAAGTAATTGATGAGTGACAAAAACCCAATGACTAATTGCTTTAGTTAATAATATCTACTTTTATATTATTGAATGGAAACTAAATGGGATTTCTGTAGAAACTAAATAGAAGCTTTTAATTTTTTTTTTTTTTTTTTTGAGCTTGACAAAAAAATATAAACAAAATATTGAATTGAGATAATGCAATTATGTAAACAACTATTTGATTATACTTATGAGAGAGAAGAAGTAGAATATAAAAATATTTCATGTAGAGCTTCGGTTATGTAAAACATTTGTTTACATCATTATACATATATATATATATATATATATATATATATATATATACAAAGATATATATATATCTTTGCTTTATTAAAAAACATCATTAAAGACACTTTAGAAAATTAAATCAATAAATAATTTAATTAATTTTCCCTCTGTGAAATCTTTTGAGTGGCTACTTTTATTTATAGATGGAAGACAATGATAACCTTCGAGCTCCATATTGGTAAATTTTACAAGGGAAAAAGTAAGAGTCTAAAAACATGCTTAAAGGGACACAGATTTAGTTAATAATTTTTCCTATTAAAGTACAATCCTCATTTATTCATTAAATATATACATGTACTTTAACATCTCTGTTTGTTTATAGAGCTCAGACTGGAGTTGGTTAGTTTTTGAGTTGTATTTGGTTCAAATAGACTGATAGTTATGAGGTTTTCATTGCCAACCATCAATATAATAAATAGGGTTTGTGTTATGTTGTTGGTCAGAGTGAGGTTTTTCCATTGATAAATATGACTGAAATAACAAATATGTTCTTTAAGGTTTAACTCCATTAAAAATGCACTTCAAACACTTTTTGTAATAGCCCAATTTTGAAAGAAAATAAAGAGTGATAAGTCTAAGTTGTGTAATGTGCACAACAGATTTTTATATAAATTAATAATTATCCAATGAATGAATTAAAAAAAAAATACCATCAATAAACTGAGCGCTCTCTCTTATTTGGGCCAAATCACTAGATGTAGAACTTGTTTTTAATGAAACTTGTTCTGATTTTTCATCTTTTTTTTCAATACCTAGAATATTTTCTTCTCTGCAATCTTGACCATGAAGACAACATTTAGACTAAAAAATAAAAACTAGTAGGTTAATAATTTACTACACAATGCAATTATAAAATTGAAACAACAAACAAACATACTTTGGTAATTTTAGCTTCTTTTGGGACTACTTTTGCAATATCAACTAAGTTTTCAGCAGGAGAAAGACAACGTAATGTTTTGAGTGCTTTTACTTCTTCTTCTGCAGACATATGTTTACCTTAAAATAGTAATCATAATAATAAATCACATTCAAACTAATGTCTAGTTTATAAGGAAATCAATTAAATATGAACGATAAACTATTTATAATTGGTAATTGGTTGACTGTCATGGATAATGAAGAGAAGAATAGTTGGGGTGGTCAGTCAAAAATAAATGATAATATTTATTTTTGCCTTCCTTTTTGACTGACCACCCCAACTATTCTTTTCTTCGATAAACTATTTAATTCAAATAATTGATCTAAGTGCTATTTTCAAAATACTTCTAAATTATGTATTTAATAATTCAAGTTTAAAAACTAATTAATTTATATAATTTTTACTTCTTGTTTTTGGATAAGATACACAATTCTCTCCACAAATAAATGATAACTTCAAAATTAGTAACTTTCCAGTTTAAAAGTTTGATTAACTTTTCCAGATTATTTCCAATAGGCGGGAAGCCGCAGCAAGGTTAGGCAGAGCTAACGGAGGCTGCAACAATTCTTTATATTCTACTGTTGCTATTTTAATTTATCATTAAATACACACCCAAAAATCTATATTCAACTTATTCTATAAATTTCCAAATTTTTGTTAATTAATTATAGCGCTAGACTAATAATTATTGCACAAAAACGTTTGGAGGCTGCATGTAGTCATTTATACAAAATGTAGAGTCAAGTTAACGATTATTCACGGAGGGTATGGGAGGGAGAGAAGAAAAACGGAGAGATGTCATGTTCAGCAAAACAAGGTATATCAACATATTCCAAAAGTACTACTTCTGGTAAAATTTAATATATGATCATTACATTATGTAAAAGTTCATAAAATTTAACATAATAAACTCTATTTTAGGCCATGATCAATAAACAGAAAATCTTGTATGTGATTGAATTAAGTACCTCACAAGTTTGTAAAAACAAACAATTTTAATGGGAGAATCACAATCCATATCACAACCAATATTTTATAAACCCTTGCTTGTGGTATTGCATTCTTACAAGCAGACACAGGATAGTTTAAAACAAGAAAAGAAATATTCAAAATTCTTGATCATCAAGATTAATAGTTATACCTATCATTATTTTCAAGCAAATTAACTAGTAGTAGTATGTGTTTACCTTTAAATATACTTTATTTACTTATAACACATTAAAACACTATTATACATAGCCAATTTTGTAACCAAAGGTTTGTCCTAGAAATTATAGTTAGAGTGGTTTTTAACCACCAAGGAGTTAATCACAGACTTAATATATCCTTATACGGTTAAGTTTCTTGAATGAAATCAGTTTTGTAATCAACATATTTTTCCACTAGGTGTAAGAGAAAAGTATCTTGCAAATTTACCACGAAACCAATCCTATATATGGAACCGGATTAATCATCAGAGCAAGAGCTCGGCAATTAGTAACAAAGTTTACTCCCATCTCCCCTAGATTATGTTACCTACTGAAGTGTCATCTGAAGAAGAGGACACGTTTTATGAAGACCTCTCCAAAGTCTTAAGATTTGTCCAGCATATAATGCTAAAATAGTTCTAAGAGACTTGAACGCCCAGATAGCCATGAAAAGAATACATCTACCATCAATTGGAAACTTCAGTCTTCATCAGAACACAAATGCCAATGGCCAAAGAGTGATTAACTTTGCGAACACTCATGGCCTGGTGGTCGGAAATACCATATTCCCACATAAGAATATACACAAAGCTACCTGGAGATCACCTAATGGAGCGTTTACCAGCCAGATCAACCACATCTTAATCAGCTCTCGCCACAGGTCCAATTTAATTGGAGTAAGAACATGTAGAGGAGCAAAAATGGATTCAGATCACTACCTCAGTATTGCCCGTATAAATGCCCGGATGACCATGAAACGGAACTCGGATATTAGAGAAGTTGTGAAGGAATTCAATGTTCATAAACTGAAGGATCCTGAAGTGTGAAACCTACCAGTAACACCTTGAAACTAAGCTGGAGGAGGAATTAAGAGATAGGAATGACACAATGGATGACAAGTGATCGGGAGTTTAAAGAGCACTGAAAACTACTGCAGAGGAAATCCTTGGATTGCAGACAAGACGCAGGAGGTTGCTTTGGTTTGATGATGCTTCGAGGCAACAAATAAGAAAAATGAAGCGTATAAGAAGGCTATCCAGCGCCATACACAGGACACATACCGAAATGAAAGAAGAGAAGGAAAGAGATTGCACAGGAGAAAGAAGAGAGCATAGGAGAACTGTAAGATGAAGGATGTAGAAAACTGCAGGACATTTCATGACACTCGCCTCTTCTTTCAGAATGTGAATGAGGGCCGTAATGCCTTCAAACCAAAGGTATTTTGAAGATATGGGAGGAAGAGAAAATGCATGAGGAGTGGAAAAGGGGAATTATCTACTCACTGCACAAGAAAGGGGACCAATCGGATAAGGAAAATTATCGAGGCATAGTGCTCCTCTCATGTGCTTATAAAGTTCTCTCTAACATACTATTTGAGAGACTAGTTCCTCATGCCGAGAGGGAGATAGACAAATATCAAGTGGGATTTAGGCAAGGGATGTCCACATTGGACCAACTGTTCTTACTGAGGTTGATGCTGGAGAAGTGCAAAGAGTGTAACTCGGGCGGAGATCTATCAGGCCCTGTTGGAAATGAACGTCCAAATTAAACTGATACGACTCGTGAAAATGACGATGTCAGGCTCGAAGTGTGCAGTATGAGTAGGAAGTGACTTCTCGGAAGACTTTCATACTAACTGCGGTGTAGGACAGGCTTTCTTTTTAACTTCACTGCAGAGAAAGCTGTGCGTATGTCCGGAATCCAACTCCACTCAACCCTTCTTAACAGTATCGTTCAGTTTCTTGGGTACGCTGACAACTTTGATATTGCTGCCAGATTGGAACGTGCATTAAGAGAGTCGTTCTTGGCCATAGAAGATGCAGCAAAGAAACTTGGGCTACACATTAATGAAGCTAAGACCAAGTACATGAGAGTCGGAGGAGATGGGCCAGGGACCGGTTATTTTATGGATGGAACATATGATTTCAAAAAGATATACAGCTTTGTCTACCTTGGGACTGAGATCAACTCTGAAAATGACATCTCTAGAGAAGTCAACAGAAGGATAGCAACAGCGAGACGGTGCTACTTTAGCCGAAGCATTTTGGAAGCAGGTTCCTCTATAAAAAGATCACTTTCTACAAATCCTTGGTCCGCCCTGTTTTAACTTATGAATCAGAAGCATGGGCCTTTAAGAAGCAAGATGAAAATAGACCTCTGATCTTTGAGAGATCAATCTTGAGAAGGATTTTTGATCCTGTTAGAAAGGGTGGAATTTGGAGAAGGAAAAATGCCGAACTCGATTGCCTTTATAAGGACATAGAATTGGTGAAGTTTATCAAGATAGGACGACTTCGATGAGCCGGGCGGGATGAGTATGGATGATTCGGCGATACCCAAGAAAATGCTGTCTGGAAAGATGCATGGACAAAGAAAGGTTGGCAGGCCAAATGTAAGAGGGGAGAACTCAGTGATATCGGACGCATGGGCTCTACTGGGAGTCTGAAACTGGAGAGCTGCTGCAGCTGATCGTATCGACTGGCGAAAGCTTTAGGAGGAGGCCCTGTCTCTGTGACAGGATGTAGTGCCATCTATGTATCATTAAAAACTCTTAAAATATAAAATATACATTAAAAAAATCTACAAATATACAATATACCAAAAATATTCGAATATACTAAAGTTCCAATAAAAACTTAAGAACTAAGAAAGAAATTGGAGGAACAGTTAAAAATTAAAGTAAAATTATTTCATGATAATGGATTAATAATTGACTGTCGCAGATATATTGGAGAGAAGTTAGTTAGGGTGTTCGTTTGTTTGAACATCACAAATACCTTTTCTTAAAAAAAATATTTAAACTTTTTTTATAAAACAAAAGCAGTAATAATAGTTTAAAAAGGGAAGGAAGGAAAGAGAGTAACTGATTGAAAATATTATAATAAATAAAATGTAAATGAAATTTTTGGCAGCATATACTGCACTAAAATTAATTACTTATCACACCCATTTCTAAATTTGTTTCTGTGGAACTTCCATTGTTTAACTTATTTTTATAACTAAAAAATTATCTTTATAAAATACCAAAACTTGTTCTGAACAATAGTTGCAAAATATAGATTTTTAATCAGTCATAAAAACTGTTTCACCTTTGGTATTATAAGGGTTGATTCAAGATTTAAATTTTGAAGAAAATTATATATTTAAATTTGGCATTTTAAATAACAGTATTTAGAAGGAAGTAAGCAACATACTGAATTTGAAACTGGTTGTGGCATTTATAAGGAACAAGAGGAGATAGAAATAAACAGGAAATATATTTTTTTTAATCCATATTTACAACTATATTAAAATAAAAATATATCTAGTAAATTTGAATAAAATAATATGACATGAAAAGTCTAGTTTATATACTACCCTCTGGTACCACTCTAATTATGTATTTACATAGGGAGATCATGAGGCCATATTATTTTCAGAAGCCTCACAGCTTATCAGGGATCGAAGAGGAAGCAAGGTTAGAAACGAGAAGAATTTGATGGTTTAGTGGAGCCACAAAGCCCAACTCAAAAGTAAATGAGTCTTTATAGTTAGTAAAAAGTTTAGAGTGTAAGTCTAGTAAGTGTTAAAGTAGGTGGAAATGTCTAGGTGTTTCTTGTCCAGTCTTGAATGATTCCAAGTAAGACATTTGTCCAGATGGAGTCTCAGGTAGTGGATCTGTTCAACAGGAACAAGTGGAGTATTATTAAAGGATATTATAGGACAGAAAGTCAGGAGTTTACGACAAAGGGTAAAGATGATTTGTTGGAAATTATTTTAATCCTCCAATTTCGATACCATTCTTCAATGTTTGTGATAAATTACCGAAAAGCTTGAGAAGTGATAAATGCTAATGATGGTGTTGGGTGAGTTGTAATGTTAGCTGTATAAACTGTGTAGAGGGTAGAACT